AGATTTGTTAATGGCTTCTTATTGTCTGTAACCTAGCAACCAATCCATGAAGTATCATGAAACACACATGTGTAATGTCTTCTTGTACTATAAATAAAGACGTCCAGTTTGTCTGGGCGGCACAAGTTGCTTGGGCTACCTAGGCTCAGGCTGCCTGTGTCCATTTCTACTCTATCCCTTTGTCTCGTTCTTTCCAATTCCCTGGTCCTGGCAAGATGGAGGGCTTTCTCTTTCTCGTCCTCTTTCTCTTCCTCACCAGCAGCCCTCTGATCATGATTCAGCCAGACCCAAGCCCTGGGGCAGACGCCGACACAAAGATGCATCATGAGTTTTCCAACAACCCAACAGAATGAGTTAAATTTCATAGTAACTATTGCCCCACCTTCCTCTACCCCAACTAGCAATCCTTGCCAAGCCCATTTTCCACTCATCTCAATTATTCTGTCTTCTTATCCCAGTCATCTCTCTAGTATCTGGTCAATCAAATCTACCTTGTGGTCCACACCCAACCCCAACTTCAATGGAGGACCAGTCTGCGGATCCATGACATTACCATTAAATACTTCAATAACTTGTTTGAGGGTCTCCAGGGAAATGCCACTGTATCCTTTGGCCAAGACATTGATTCTTAAAGCCAAGAGCATCCGACACTTCTCAGGACTGAGTGGTTTCCCAACACCTACAAAACAGAATTAATGTTTACTCCAAAAATCCTAAACCTCTGCTACCTCCCACTGCTCTATTCTTCAGATCTTTTTCTACTTCCGTCACCACTTTCCCCTGGTGACTCAGGGTTAGATTGTTTTTCCTGTCTTGCTTCTCAAAGCCTTGTCTTCTAGACAAATGTGAAAAACCCAGTTTTGCCTTCTCAGTTCTTCCTGGGATACATCTGTGAATCCTTCCCTCCCAAACACCTTTAGAATAGCATCCAGGCTCCTCAGTACAACTCCTTCACAAATTGATGGGCACTGACTCTGGACAGGGTTTCCCATCTCATCTTGTCCATCCTAACTCATTTCTTGCGGTCTGACTTTCATCTCTTTCCCTGAATGCACCGCCCTTTCTGCAGAAAAAAAACACCGCCATTTCTGCAGGATTGGACACGTTCCTGTCTCAACCCCATGCCTCCACCTGGCCCAGTCCTTTCTCTGTGGGTCAGCTGAAGGTGTCTTTAACTGGTGCTTTCTGCTTTGGTTCCTGGGCCTCAGCACCCAGTCCTTGGAATGCACTAGCTGCTCACAGCCTTTACCGGATGATACGCTGTGCTTTGTTCATCTAATCACAGGAGATTTAGGAGGCACACAATGCTTTGAATGATTTACCTGAAGAATGCGATCGGACTAAGTTGACCTGTAGCTCCCTGGAAGAGAAAGGTCAAAACTCTCTTACATACTCTGCAACAAAAATGTCCCCTCAGCTAGGAAAATGAAGGGAAGAACAGTCAAATTCTTCGAGACACGGGAATCAGTGAGATACAATGAAAGAAACCAGCCAGCCTGCATGTTCAGCACCAGTTTTCATGTTCTAGTTAACCCAAGCCTCATTCTGCTTGTCTGTAAATTGAGGCAAATGTACACCTTGTTGAAAAAAAAAATCTCAAAGATGGGAGTAGGTGAAACGTGAATGTGTGTGTGTGCTTCAAACTTACTGTAGTTTGTTGACAGGAATTACAGTTCTGGCAAATTTTCCAAAGCCTGTAGTAATGCCATAAACAACTAGAATAGAAAAACAGACATTATACAATTAGATGTGGGATGTATTTTTTAAAGAATTATTTTATTTAACTTTATTTATTGTTTATTTTAATTTGACCAGAGAGGGAGAGAGAGAGAGAGAGAGAGAGAGAGAGAGAAAGAGAGAAAGCAAGCTGCTGGGTCCAAAATTCAGACCATGGACAACCATGTGGGAGTCCAGCGCCCTTAACCTTCATGCCACTGGTTGGCCCCAGATGTGGGATGCATTTAAGTCTATGAAAAGACTTTGATAACATAAAGAGAAAACGATACCTGTTTTTTCTTGCACGATGCTATCAATGACTTCCCTGGATTTTTGTACCCTCTTTTCCGCAGTCGAAGTGAGCTAGGTGAAAGTGGGTCAGGACTAAGCATGTTGAAAGTCCCACATGCTGTACAAATGGCCACAGGACCTTGTTCCCCCTCCTCCCCCTGCAGCCCATACCTTTATTTTGTAGTGTCCCTTTCCCAAGTTGACCAGATCCTCCGTGGTCAGACTGTCCCCATCTAAGGCAATGTACTGAGCAAAAGAAGGAAAAGTCTCCGTGAGTCTGAACAGTCTAATTGCTCTAAGGAGAGTAGGCAAGCCTCCAGCAGAACCAAACTTTGACACCTCGAAATGCTATGGCTGCTGTGAAACGTTAATATGTTAATTACAAAGGCAGCTTGCTTAACAGGAGGCTGAGTAAGGACGATTACAGATGCAAAGCAAGGCGATTTTCCAAGCCCTTCTTCCCTACAAAGCTGGATAAAGCCTGCTCCTAACTGATAGCGTTTACTCAGAAATTGGGCCATTTCTCCTCCTCCTTAAATGTGGAGGACTCAGTCTTCTAATAGAAATAGAGTAGTTTGAAGTTTACCTTCTCAGGCTCCCGGTATTTGCTGTATCTGAAACCAGGTCAAGAAAAATATGGGGTAGAGTGGAAAACCCTCAGCCCCCTGCTGGTGGGAGTAGCCTCCAGAGGAGACCAAAGAGCCTTTGGTAAAGGATACAGGTAAACTCCTTCTGGCTGAGAAGGGATGAAGTCGGGGGACATTGCATCACCTTCTATGACTGAAACAAGAATGAGAGACTTTTGTGGATCACAACACAGAACCATATTTGCTGTCGCTATTAAACCAAGAAAGTGCATATGGCCCTTGAATTCGATGGAAATGTCTGCTTTAAAAGGACACAGGTGCTTTTAAGTGGTCTTAGCATCTTTACCCAGGATGAGAGCAAACAGCAAATGCAGGCTTTGGGGCAGAGGCTGGGGGCGGGGCTTCAATGAAAGTTCCAGAGTTAATCCCACTTCCATCCCCTGTCCCAGCTTTGTTGTATTTTAAGTCGGAATTCTTTAGGCCTCCACACTGCTGGCCTCTGGAGAGGTGAGAGTCTTCTGAAAGACAAAATGATCTTCAAAATGTTTCCAAACTGCAAAGGGATTCAGTACAGTAGTCTTGGATGCAGTCCAGTCTTTATTACTTACAAAATGAGTTCAAAAAATCCACAGAAAAATGGAATTGAAGTACAAGTTTATTTTGGTGCAAAAAAAAAAAGAAAAGAAAAGAAAATCCATGCATTTTTTCCCCATAATATGCATTTCCCAGGAACTTCAGGAAGAACACGCCTACCTAAGTGCCTGACCCTAGGTAAGTCACCTCTCTGAGGCTGCGGCCTCCCCAGCTATCAAAGGTAGAGGAGAACCCCGACCTACCTCAAGGGTTGTGTGAGAACTCAAGATACCCAGAGGCATGGCAGGCGTCTACACAGAGCAAGTTTAACCCCTGTTCACCATTGTCCCTGATGTGGGGCAACAACAGGGCCACCCTCCCAGGTAGGTGAGGACTAAGGGAGGCCATACACACGCCTCCCCTGCAGCCACTCACCTACTTCCACGAACTCATTGTCCTCCAGGGCCACCTCCAGAGAGTCCTCATTGTCCAGCAGGCCCAGGCCCTTGCAGCGGCGCACGAGGAAGCGCACTTCGTCCACGGAGGTAAAGCCACCATTGTCCGGCTTGTTCTTCATGTATCGCCGCACGGCTTCTCTACCCAGCCAGCCCACCGTGAGCTGCTCGTCCCGGCAGGGCACAGCCAGCCACTCCCCGCGCACATGCACCGTGTACCTGGGCATGGCTCCACCACCGCAGCTCTGAGGCCGATGAGATCACCTCCACTCCAAATGCCTGCTCTCCAGTAGGCAACAGTCCTGGAAGAGGAGAGGAGAGTTTTATCTTGGAGTGACTCCTGGGGTGTGGTCACCAGGAGGAGCAGAATGGACTTTCAAAACACATCTCCTTCATGCCTTTACTCATTGATGCGTTGACAAATATTTATTGAGGGCCCTAGGTGTCCTTTTGGTTCGTGTGTGTGGGTGTGTGTGTGTGTGTGTGTGTGTGTGTGTGGCTGGGCTAAGGGCAGACAGGACAGGGACATACAGGTAGAGGAGCCGTCTGTCCACCTGCAGTCCAGCCCAGGGGCAGAAAGGCCAGGAGTCTCCCACCCCGGGGTCCCAGCGCCTGCTGGCACCTGCTGTTGACCTTCCACTTCTCAGTGCCCCTGTCCTCATTTCCATCTGGGTCCCTCTCGTTCAGGGTGCTTTTTAAACATCATGTTCCTGCTTTTATCTGGAATTACTCAACTGTAAAATGCATCCCGCAGAGCCAACTGTGACACCAGCGAGTGTGGCAATGTCCATTCATTTGTTGATTCCACAAACAAGCATTGAGCAACCACTCCCTGCTGGTGTGTAGTTTTCTGAGCCTTCCCTCCACCGACACCAAGGCCAGAGATCGTTTTCACAGGTTAAGGTTGACTTGACAGATGAGCAGCCATGGCTTGCAGGTTGAGGGCTCAGCCAGCCATGGATGGGACTCCAGCTCTATGAATTTTAGCCTTTAGCAAGGGAGTTCTCAGCCTCGTTTCCTCATCAAATGGCAAAGGGGCTAACTAGCCCTGCGGTACCAGTAGAATGTACCTGGGATCAAATCCCGGCTCTACCATTTATGGGCTGTGTGACCTCAGCCTGAGGCATGAGTCAACTTCTTTAGGCCTCATTTTCCTCATCTGTAAAAATGAAGATAATGATAGTATCTATTTCTTACTCTCTCTTTTTTTTTTTTTTTTTTAGAGAGAGAGATTTTTGCTATAGGGCACGTGCACTCATTGGAGAGACAGAGAGAGACAAAAAGCAAGAAATCACGGGACCAGCAGTTAGCGTAATGGCTATGTCACTGGACTCCCATGTAGTAGACTGTGGTTTGCATCCCGGACCCGGTGGCTTAAACTCACGCCAGGCGCATGTGTTTGCGTGCCCAAGATCCTGAGAGGAGAATGGAGGAGAAGGGATTGCGGCGTGGCCATCCCCCCTGGGGAGTGATTTCTCGCTTTCTATCTCTCTGTCTCTCTCTCTCGGTCTGGCGAGCGCACGTGCCCTAAAGCAAAAACCTCTCCAAAAAAAAAGAAAAAAAAAAAGCAAGAAATCACCTGGGGTGGGGTGGGGATGGCCACGCCACTATCCCTTCCTCTTCATTCTACTCTTGGGATTTTGGGCATGCACGCACGTGTGTCCGGTATGAGTTTCAAGCTGCCAGGTTTGGGACTTGAACTGCAGTTGGCCAAGTGGGAGTCCAGCGCCTCAACCACTGTGCCATCTGCTGGCCCTGATAGTATCTATTTCAAAGGACTCTTGGGAGGGTTAAGTGAGTTCATATACATAAGGCCTTTAGAACAGCACCTGGCAGGTTGGAAATGCTATATGAATGTTGTGATTCCTATTATCTGTACTTTAGCATTCTCTATTCTTTATAAATGTTCTTCATCTTGGCACTTGGATAGCCCTAATCCAATTAAATTTCGTCACTACGGATAACTGCTCCTGCACCCCATTCATTACCACAAGCCATTAAGGAATTTTTTAATTTAATTAAAATTTATTTTTATAGGTTTTTGCAATAGGGTGCATGCACTGGCCGGTGAGACAGGGAGACAGCGAGAAATCACCCCCCAAGGAGGATGGCCACATTGTAATCCTTTCTCCTCCATTCTACTTTCGGGATTTTGGGCACACACACACGTACCCAGCATGAATTTGAAGCCTCCAGGACCAGCACTCACACCACAGTTGACTACGAGGAAGTCCAGCGACGTAACCACTATGCCATCTGCTGGTCCCAATCATCATGAAAATGGAACAAAGATACACGTGCAGTTTTGACCAAGCAGTACTCTTGGAAAAAGTCAATTTCTAGAGATTTGATCATTGTGAGAGAAAATCCTGAAAAATCTATTTCCTGTAAATCAGACTTCAGTGGGAACGGAGACAGCCCCTGACAAAACACTTATGCCCACACCGAGTTGCTTCATCTCTGATAGTGACCAGAGAGGTAAACAAATAGCGCTTCCCCTCCCTGAGCCTCATCGAAACCTGCTCATCAGCCACCCACCTACTGATGGCACTCTAGAATGATGGCACCTTAGAATTTGTCCTCACCTAAGTTCGATGCACATAACTAACCTTAAATTCCAATGGCCCTTGAACCTGATCTCAGTCAGTCCCTTCCTCCCTCCACTTCCCACAAGCTTCCTCACTTACTTTCCAAGAAATGGGCCCCCTAATTGCTTACCTGGACCACTCTTCCTTAAGCACTTTGAAGTCCCTTGGCAACCCTAAATCTATGCCTACATTGGGAGCACAACCCGTTCCTGGGGTCATCACAACAAGCTGCCTTTTCTGTTCATCCAGGCCGAAGACTGTTGCACAGCCCTGTGATCCTGTAGACTCATGGGTTGCCCTTTCATCTGTCCTCCCCCTCAGTGAGTTTCTAAAGTCTTCACCGCCGCCCCCCCGACCTTCTTAGCATCCACCTCTTCTAATTCTCAAAGACCTTACCTCCTACATCTCAGAGAAAACTGAGGCTCTTAGATGAGAACCACCTTAACTTTCTGCCCCTCTCCATTCATTCATTCACTCATTCGATGTTATTTATTGGGGCCAGCAGGGGGCCTGTGGTTAAGGGCTATACTCCCACCTGGTGGACCATGTTTTAGTCCTGGACCCAGTGACTTGAAAACCATGCCGAATGTGTGTGCGTGCATGCCCCAAATCCCAAGAGAATAGAGGAGAAGGGACTGCAGTGTGGTCATCCCTCCTGGGATGGAGGGGTTGATTTCTAACTTGCCCTCTCTCTCTGTCTCTCTCCAGTGAGCACATGCACCCTACAGCAAAAACTTAAAAAAAAAAATCTGTAAGAGAGGAGAGAGAAATAGAAAGTCACCAACAACAGGGTCTTCTTGTCACCATCTGCCCCAGCATCCGCCAGCCTGGAATATACCAGGAGGCCTCATGATGCAAACTCAGGACCTTCCTAAGTGGGTCTAGCTGCTGTGCCACCATCTAACCCCCCAAACTACCTCTTGAACATCTGCTGTGTATCAAGCTCTATGCTGATGCTGGGGATGAAATAAAAAAAAAATACATCTGCCGTCATAGGTGATGGATACTGTCTGGTGATGGATACAGACTTACGAAGAAGACTAATAGGATGACCATCTATTTCCCACGCCTCAAGAAAACCCACACTACTGGTCGCTCAAGCTGACAGTCCCTGCTGAGCCCAGCTTCAGTAATCTCAGCTGAGGCATTGGCCATGTGGAGGAAACTTCCAGATGATCCCAGTTCCCATGATTTCAGTCCCCCATAGCCGTTTGAGGGTTGTAAACCCAGGTTCTAGACACTGCGAAGCACGGATTTACTTTTGCTGTTCTTTCTCTAGCTGGTACACACTTTCCTTGAAAAGTTGGGGATTTTATTCCTTAAATCTTGGTTTAGGGCTTTTCTGCTCCAGAAAGCATTCTCTAAACCATTCACAATGAGGTCAAGCGGCTGCTTTAGAATACCTATTTTTTATTTTATCATTACTATTATTTTTAGCATTACTTGTCTTCATTCATCCAGTCCTCATGCAGACACCTGATCTGGTACGAAGACAGTATGTGCTTTAGCTGAACTCCACTGGGCTGGTCTCACGAGAACTGTAAGTAGGCTAAGTTTGTTTTTAGCACCCCCTGTCTTTGACGCACCCGTCCCTGCACGGCACCAAGCAAGCTTCCTTTGCCCGGATGTCCTTTCAGTATCAGTCGTAAGTGATAACCAACCAATGACACTTGTTCAGTTTATCTGGTAAGCTCCTAAGGCAGAAGAAACCTTTAAAAAGCATTATTGGGGGTGCATGGATTTGCTAAAGTCTAGTCACTTAAAAGGTGATCATATGTCAGAGATTGGAGCTGAACTTCCTTCTCGGGTTTTCCTGGCGGGAAGATGGGGGTGAGAGCAGAACCCTGAGAACCAGCGTCACGCTGCAGTGTAGGTAAGTGTCCAAAACGAGACAGCTGCTAGAGTGAGAACAAGGGAGAAGTCTTGGGATTTCAGGGACGGACAGAAATGTGCCCCTGCCTCACATGGGTGTTGGTGCCTATCTATTTTGATACTTTTGACAGGGCAACAGCAGTCTTGGTGGGTATTTGGCGATGACACACGCCACTCAGGCTTAGATTCTAAGACTTCATTTTTCTTAGCTAGAATTCACTTGCCTAGGGGTGAAGCCAACTTGGGTTGGAGTGTCACGTCTGGGAATTCGTTTTGTCTTGTTCTTTCCTTTTCTCCCCTACAGCATTCTTTTTTTTTTTTTTCTTTTTACCTTAGACTCCCATTTTCATGTTTCATAATTCAAGAACACAGGTTAGTGACAAACTTCTATGAAATTCAATCAGATATTTTATTTTATTGTTATAGAATGCATGCCTTTACCAGAGAGACAGAGAGAAGGGGGAGAGAGAAGTCACTCCCAGGGAGGATGGCCATGCTGCAATCCCTTCTCCTCCATCCCTTCTCTCAGGATTTTGGGCATGTGTGCACATGTGCCTAGTGTGGTTTTCAAGTCACCAGGTCGGGGACTCGAACTGTGAAACAGGCCATGTGGGATCCAGCCACCTTCACTGCCATGCCACCTGCTGGCCCCGAATTCTTCTCTTAAAAAATGTTTTTCCTTATTCATGATAAAGTATGTGTACACACAAGAGAGTGAGAGATGAGCACGCTCCACAGTGTCTGGTGATGCCACAGTCCCTTCCCTCCAGCGCTGCAAGCCATGGGATCTTGGGCAGTCATGCACGTGTCCACTGCAGTTCAGGCTGACCAGGCCAGGGAGTGCAACTGCTGTCAGCACGTGGAATCCGGCTTGTCCTGAACAGCACGTTACAGCTGTGCCATGGAGCCAGCCCAAGTGGTTCAATGATTTTTTTTTTTTAAATTGTAGTTTATTTATCTCACCCACAAGAGTGCAGAAAGGCAACCCCAGCAGAGTCTTTGCACGTAACCCACAGCCAGTCTTTGCCAGCCTGGATCATGGGCACGTGTGTGCACCTGGTACGCTCAGGGAGGTTGCCACACAGAAACCCAGGACCTTTCCTCTGTGGGTCCAGTTGCATTCCTAAATACCACCTGGCCCCACAGAAGTTCTTTACATTCCAGGACCAGCAGATGACATAATTATGTCGCTGGACTCCCAGAGCCCATCAGTCTGTGTCCTGGACCCGGTGGTTTAAAACTCACACCAGGCGCATGTGCATGTGTGTCCAAAATCTCAAGAGGACAATGGAAGAGAAGGGACTGCAGTATGGGCATGCCCCCCAGGGGGTGATTTCTTGCTTTTTGTCTCCCTAGGGAGGACACACGCCCTATAGCAAACATCTCTAAAAAAAAAAAAATTTTTTTTTACATTCCAAACTCACTTTATGTTCAAAGATACCAGCCTTTCTCTCTACAAAATCTTTCATGCATCGTGATTTCTGTAGAAATCTGCATATACCTTCTTTCTTGGTTTAGCCATAGCAACTTAAGAGAGCTGCAACTCCTGGGGACGTGATGAATGCTTCAACATGAAATAGCAGATGCCTAGCCAGAGACACACCTCAGAGGCTTACCAAAGCACTAGAAGTCAGAGTTACTGTCCTCAACACCACGGTCCTTCTTGGCTGATGCAGAAGAGCCTGTGGGAATTTGGAATTGAGCTGGCCCTTCATGTGGCAAGAACTATTTGTAACAGCAAAGCTGGAGGGCACCCAGACTTCCCAGAGACTAGAAGATGGGAGAGTAGAGTACTGGTGGCTCTGTGGCCCCGGGCTTCAGTCCCTTCTGCCTGCCCACGGGTTCTGATAACTTCCCCTTTCTTTCTATTCTTAGGATCATGTTCCTCTTCCCTGACTTCCTGTCACTGGGCTGCTGTTACTTAGAATCCCAGCTAAGACAACTGTGGTACACATCATGCATGCCTAAGATCCCGAGAGAAGAATGGAAGAGAAGGGATTGTGGTATGGCCATCCCCTCTGGGGGGTGATTTCTCACTTTCTGTCTCTCCACCACAAGTCCTATGGCAAAACTCTCTCTCTAAAAATAAAAAAAAATAAAAAAAATCAAGAACTTGTAAATCAAAAGATTAAATTTTGCTAAAATTTACAAAGCACAGGCCACTATTTAAAAAAAGAAAAGGTAGCTCAGCTTTATTTTTGCAAAATCACCAACAAAACAATAAAAAGTCAAAACTCAAAAGACATTTAATTATAATATAAGCTGAAGTTTTATATTTCTTTATGAATTCGATTTTAAAAAGTGACATTTCTAAAATCAGCAATAGGCAGGTCCTTAATCCACTTTTAAATCTTTCCCCACCAGCATGGCTGTCACAGGGTGCATCCTTGCTCTGTGCTCCTGGAAGGTACGGACGGCTTGATCATGGGACTTGTCAAAGGCAGCAAGATCCCTGCAAAAGAAAGAGGAGGAAGACAAGAAAGACAGAGAGAGAGAAAGAGAGAGGAGGGAGAAGGGAGAGAGGAGGGAAGAGAGAGAGGCAGAGAGAGAGCACAAATATGTCAGTACCCAAGATTTAATGAAATGATGACAGCAGGGTGATAACCAATATCACCCAAATAAGTTGCTAGTCCCAGCCAATCATATGACAGTGGCCTCTGCCAGGTCCTACAGGAAGTTGACCCTCACTGGCAGATCACAGATAATTTGAGAGGAGTTACAGGAAGGGCCAAGACAGCCTGGGACAGTGTCTATCTATCATGTAGCACTGAAGTATTTTATTATCTGAACAGTGTCTTCTCACCTACTGGCTAAAATAGGCCATGTATGAGAGAGTGAAACCTCAAAGACTTTGTCTTTTTAAAAATTACTTTCTAAAGTTTTTTTTTTTTTCAAGCAGAATGATCAAAGTATAAAAACAGTAAATTTATAAAAAATTTCTGAAAACTTTAAACAACTGATAATAAAAATATTGACCATGTGAAATAACAATATTACATTAAATAAATAGGGTCCACCATATAAAAATACAGAATTACTCTTGGTTTTTTTTTTTTTTTTTTTTTTTGGAGAGGTTTTCACTATAGGGCGCGTGCGCTCGCCAGGCAGACAGAGAGACAGAAAGCGAGCAATCACCCCCCAGGGGGGATGGCCATGCCGCAATCCCTTCTCCTCCATTCTCCTCTCGGGATCTTGGGCACGCACGCACACGCGCCCGGCATGAGTTTTAAGCCACTGGGTCCGGGATGCAAACCGCGGTTGACTACATGGGAGTCCAGCGACATAGCCATTACGCTAACTGCTGGTCCCCAGAATTACTCATTTTTAAGATAACTATTGGAGCCAGCAGATAATGTGTGTTTAAGGTGCTGGACTCCCACATGGCTGACAGTGGTTTGAGTTCCAGATCTGGCAGCTTGAAACTCATGCTGTGTGTGTGTGTGTGTGTGTGCTCAAAATTCTGAGAGGAGAATAGAGAAAGGATTATGGAGTGGCCACCCAACTGGCTACCCCTCACTTTTTATCTCTCTTTCTCTCTCGTGAGTGCATGCACCCTATAGCAAAAATCTCTTGATAAATAAATTTTAAAAATAAAACCACTATTTATAAATCATAAGACAGAAATATTTTTCCCACAAAAGGTATATTTTTGTTTATAAACTCTTAAAAGTATTAATATGCTTTGCTGAATTTAAAGCTAGATGGGTTTAAATTGTATACTTTAAAATACTTAAACATTTAATTTGGCAAAAGTCATTATTCATTTTTTTGATGTGGCCACAAAATTAACTTATTACACTTGGGAAGTAAATGAAAAGCAAACTGATTCATCATGGATGTTTATACCATGATTACATTTTTTCAGAATTCAGGTCAATTCAAGGATTAGGTGGTGGTGCGGCGGTGGTGCTACTGGACCCACGTGGGATGAGTCCTGGGCTCCAGTCCAGAGATCTCTGTGAATACAGAGGGCCTGTGATCTGGGCCAGCTGGGACTGCGGGTGGATCATGGCATGAGGACAGGCTAGAAGTGGTAGTTTCTCTCTGTCTTTTATGGAGAAAAATAAATGAATGAAAAAAAAAAAAAGAATTCAGGCCACATCCATAGTCAAAGAACTGCACTGAGAAATTCCTGTATTGTACCCTGCTGACCAGATACAACCTTTCCCTCTTTCATCAAGCATTTCTTTATTATATATTGAACAGTCTACTCCTCTGAAACTTCACAGTGATGTATGAATCGAAAACATTTTGCTTTATCTGCTTGTTTCTCCTTGAATTTAGTTTCAGTCTCTTTTTCTTATCTATACCTATTGGCAAATTATCTTCTGCGTGCTTTTAAGAATCTTCCTGCGTACATAAAACTGTCTTTGATTTTTGTCATCAAGGTCTAATCCTATTTGCCTTATAATGCAGAATTCATATATAATACTTCTAAAAAAAGCTAGTGAAATTATCTCAAGTTTTAAATATTTACGAGTATGAGTCCCTATTCTGAAGTTATAAACTTCAAAAAATTTTTAAAAACTGTTATATAGGTTACATTAATACAAAGTATTTTAACAATAACAAAAACATTTGTTTACTATTTTTCATCCCATTACTGATACAAATCCAAACATAGTTTGATTTGGTTCTTACTTGAATAAGGGTCGTGTAAATTTCATTCTTCCTTGTTCAGTCGCCATTTTTAGAGCCAAAGGAATTGCTTCCTCCCACTTCGATTGAATGCAGAGCCGTAACCATCTGAAAGAAGGAATTTGGGGGGCGTGGGAGAGAAAATGAAGAGGAAGAAGCAGGATAAGTTAGACATATCTGAATGTTCCGTCTGTCATGATGAATAATCCCATTATAGTTATATTGAACCCCTCTTTATTATGAGACTTTCAAATCCTTATAAATCCAATTGACTACTCGAAGTAGAGAAGGAAGCGAAGTTGGTTCTTGAAAAAAATCATATGTTTTAAAAGGTTTAGATTATGTAGGTACTCATACACCTTATAAATGCAATTTCTGAAGGAATTAAACTTATGTAAGCTTCACATTATAAATTTGAATCAAGAGAGGTGAGCACATAACAGAATCAAAGTAATTATTCTCATTTCAGAGTTGATTTGCCAGGATATGGAAGAAAGCCAATTTACCACTGAATCCTTCAATCTAATTATTTTTAAGACTAGAGAAGCTTAGAACAAAGACTCACCAAGAGATCAGTGCTATCATCTTAGACACATTGCAGCTACTCCTTGCATACCACTATCGTCATTTTTATAGATGCAGTCAATTTGACGAGGGTTTCTCATGTATGTCTCATACTCTGCTTTCCCTTTTGCCACTTTTTAAACTAGCTGTCTGCTTTCTTCCAAAGAGACAAGTTAAAATGATGTACCTGAATCGTATTTCAGAATTGTTAATGGCATTGAAGTTGTACACCTCTTGCATTCGCTTTATGTGCCCCAATGGAAGAGGTGCCTAAGAGCAAAATAAAGAAGCAAAATGTATCATTTCAACAGGATTTCTTGGAAGAAAGGAGCTGGAGAGAAATTCTTAGCCAGATTAAAACCCTGAATATTAGAATATGAGGTAGAAATAAAAGGAACAAAGGCATACTAACATACATCTTGGGCAAACTTATTTTGGATAAGGATGGTCTACTGGAGTACAGGAATCATTTACTTTGGGAGATTCTTAGGAATATTAAATGAGAACTACTCTCCTGAGACTTTTTAATATTTATAAATATTACCTTTCAGACACTTTCCGGAATTTTTAAAGTTCTTCCCTACAAAAAAAAAATTTTTAAAGTTCTTCCCTGCACCTTATACATCTTACATTTATTTCATTCTTCAGATTAAATCATTCCTTCATTTTTTTTCTCACTGATTCTCCCCAGCTTTATCTTTGGATATTTTGTCTAAAATCTCTTTTCAATGATCTATATCCTTATGAAACAGCAGTTATGAAACCTTTATATTATTGGCCCTTCTGAGAATACAATGAATAATATGCATTGCCCAGTCATTATCTGCTCAAAATGCAGCCTCTTCGTTCAGTCTCACATAGTCGTTAAATGCCTGGGTTTAAAACTTTAAACTCTGCTTGGACTCTTGCCTACTAACCCTCAAGTCCAGTAGGTCCCAAACGCTATGCTTCCATCCTGTGCACCCTCTCCTTCATCTGGCCTATTCTTTCCTTCTCCACTCTCTCACTCCCCTGAGTCTCCCAACTACCTTCATTGCTATGCGGACTTCTTGGCACCAGTAGATTAATTTTCAAAACCCACCATCTCATCAAGTGACCCTCCTGTTAAAATGCTTAAATCCTTTCCTACTGACTGAAAAAAAAAAAAAATCTAAAGTTCTTAGCTTGGCATTCAAGACTCATCACATTGAATGTTACCAGCCTTTCTACTGTTGCCTTCATGAACTCCCTTATTAGGTACTCCTGGCTACTCCCCCAGCACTGGCGGGTTTCACGATTCCTGCCTCTAACTTCTATTTCCACCTTCTTGCCGACACTGCCGGGCTCAGGTGAATTCCTGCTCCTCAAAGTGCCTGCCTTGGTGACTCCGGTTGGATGGGAGTCCTTTTTCACCCATTTATTCTCAAATGATTCCTAAAATATTCCATTTATTGCTGAACTTTTCATGTGTTACTATTCCTACTAGATTATAAGCTTTCTGAGGACAAGATATATTCTTACATTTTTTTTTATATTCAGCACAATACTGAACAGAGTAGGTATTGAATGAAAATTTTTTCAATAAATAAATGAATACATGATTTTTTCCATTAGTTTTCACATTAATGTCTTTTCCAAGTTGAGTACGATGTGATTGCTGTGCCTGTTTGTGTCTATTTTCATTGCCAATGTTTTGAGCTTGTACTTACTCTCTGGAGAACCTGTGCTAAAAACTCGCTCCGCTGATGAGAAGAGAGATCTTTCAGGTCTGTGACATTGAATGAGCTTAAGTCGTCGTCTTTGGCCTAAAATATACATGACTTGGTTATTTCTGCTTGTATACAATTTAATATTTATTATTTTATCTGACATAAAAGTAAAAATAGAAGAACTAAGTATACAAAATATGTTTAAGCCTGAGCTACTTAAATAATCCTGAGACTGAGTTACTAGAACTTAAAAAGCTGACTGGACTGCTAAAATCGACATTACTTAACAAAAGGGAAACCATTTCTAGTAAAAGTGAAGGAAACTTCTGAAATCCTTTATACCATTTGAGGTATAGAGATTCTAAAGTAAAGAAACATCACAAAATGCATGTCAACAAATTTATGGGCCAATTAAAAAATGTGGGTTAAGGGACCAGCAGTTAGCATGATGGCTATGTCACTGAACTCCCATGTAGTCGACCACAGTTCATGTCCCAGATCCGGTGGCTTAAAACTCATGCCGAGCGCATGTGCGTGCGTGCCCAAGATCCCGAGAAGAGAATGGAGGAGAAGGGATTACAGCATGGCCATCCCCCCGGGGGGGGGGGGTGATTTTTCACTTTCTGTCTCTCTGTCTCTCTCTGGCTGGCTGGCGAGCACATGCGTCCTATAGCAAAAAAAAAAAAAAAAAAAAGCTCTCAAAAAAAAAAAAGTGAGTTAATTGCATACTTTTTTTAGTATCACACTAATGAACTAAAGGCTACCAATGATGTTTCCCTCCATCCTCACACATTCTGTTTTCCCCACTTAATTTTGGAAATACTTTTCCAATTAAGATTCACTGCCAAAAATACTTGTGGTGTAAGGAATATCCTTGAGGAATATGAAATAAAAATTTCCAAAATACGCATTTTAACATGTTTTAAAATTAGTGTTAAATGCTTTTAAAATAGGGTTTTGTTTAAAACATCAAATAGAATAGAATAAAAACTTCTTCTGGTTTTGCTCCATCTCCAAGTTCTACTCCTCAGTAACTAATCTTAATAGTTCTTGTATATTCTTCCAGACAATCTAATGCATATTTAAAGAAATATTTATTTTGCATCTCCCCACTCCCCACAGAACTCTCCTAATATCAAAACTTCCTTCCCCTTCTTGCTATCAGAACTTATGGCTCTATCTCATCTCTTCACCAAAAAAATATGATTGACTGCAGTTCAAGTCCTGGACCCACTGGCTTGAAAATCATGCCGTGTGTGTGTGTGTGTGTGTGTGTGTGTGTGTGTGTACATGTGTATGTGTATGCCCAAGATCCCAGGAAAAGAATGGAGAAGGGATTGCTGTGTGGCCATCTCCCCTGGCGGGTGATTTCTCACTTTCCCTCTCACTGTGTTTCTCTCTCCAGTGAATGAATGCACATGCCTTAAGGCAAAAACCTATTTAAAAATATGCAAATCTAAGTTATATGTTAATTAAGAATGTATTTGTATGTGGTAAAAACATTAAAAGGAAGGGAAAGATAAGCCCACAGCCAGGGTAATGGTTCCCTTGATGGACTGGCAAGGTTGGGGGAGGAGTAGGTGAAATAGGGAGGTGTGCTCTAAAGGTACCGATACGTGCTATTTCTTACAGCTGTGGTCAGGTACACAGACAGGTGTTGTTTTACAGTCGATTTTTATAGTTTATAAATAAGTTTTACACACACACATACATATATACACACACACACATATGCATACAGATGTGTGCATATATATATATACACACACACACATACACACACACACACACACATATATATTCTTTCACATTAATGTTTCACAAAATCAACTGGGAAATAAAGTACATAAGAAGAATATATATTCATGATTAAAATATCCTTCATCTCTCCCCCGAACTGCCTGCTCAGAATTGCTCAAAACTGATATCGAACTGTTTATATTAGGTTGTCAGAAAAGTCATGACATTTTTTTCTATGCAAAAATGTGTCGTGACTTTTCCAACAATCTAATAATTATCTGCCTTAGCTTTTGGGCCCAAGAGAAGATCTGAGCAAAACTTAGTGGCAGTTTAATCTAGCAGCAAGGAAGCTACAATGCATTTTCCAAATTAAAACAGAGGAGTCTAACATATTTACAGTGTTAAGAAATCTCTTTTCCTCACAGAGACCACTCACCTTGTTCTCCATGACAAGTACGAACTCCACGAACTACCTTCCTACCTGGCCTTCTTAGGACTCTAACTTTCCTATTTAATAAAACATAAAATCTTCAAGACAGATAGAAGGGTAAAGCACTCCTTGTGGCTAGATGTGATACCAGATTTTCTTCCTTGGAATAGAAATAATGAAGTCTTTCTCAACTATCGAGAAAGAGCACATAATGGAACTACTCCTCCAAGTAGAGCTTACCACCACCCCAGGCAAAAAACCGACAACCTAGGCATCTATGTGCACAACCAGGCTTCTCTGAGAGGCAGCTACTTAGAACGCTTTTTAAAGAATTATTTTACTTTAACTTTATTTATTATTCATTTTAATTTGACCAGAGAGGGACAGAGTGAGAGCAAGAGTGAGAGGGAAAGTAAGAAAGCACGCTGCCAGGTCTGGGACTCGAACCACGGTTGTCATGTGGGAGTCCAGCAGCCTTAACCACTATGCCACCTGCTGGCTCCTAGTTAGAATATTTTATTACTTATTTTCTTCCAAAAAGAAAACAAAATGGAATTAAACACGTGACTTCAGATGGCAATGGTAATGATCTATTTTTCTTGGTTTCATTTTCCTAAGTTGTTTTCTTACCATTTGGTTTTTCTCTCTTCTTCTGTTTACTTACTCTCTTCTACTTAGAGAGTTTTCCCCTTTTCTTCCATGCTCAATTAGTTTTCAAGTTATTAACTTGTTATATAATTAAACCTCAAACATTTCTTTCAAATTAATAATACTGCTCTAATTCAAACCCCTAATGTCTTTTTATTTTTTGAGAGAGATTTTTGCTATAGGGTGTGTGTGCTTGCCAGACAGAAGGAGAGAGAGAGAGAAAGTGAAAAATCACCCTTCGCGGGGATGGCCATGTCGCAATCCCTTCTCCACCATTCTCCTCTTGGGCTATCAGGCATGCATGAATATGCGTCTGTTTTGAGTTTCAAGGTGCTGATTTCGGGACTCAGACTGCAGTCACTCATGTGGGAGTCCAGCACCTTAACCACTATGCCACCTGCTGGCCTCCAAATCCTGAAGTCTTGTTACTTGAATCTATTGACACCTTCCTACCTGGTGTTCTGAGGACTCTAACTTTCCCATTTAATTGGTCCTCTATACTATACACCAGAGTAATGGTCCTAATCCACAACTCTGATCATTTCATTTACAATTCAAAAGCCTTCAACTACCCCTGCTGCCTACGGGTTACATTTTAAAGTTTTAAATTCCTTAGCCTGATAATCAAAGTTTTCAGTTAGGGAGTTCATTCATCTTCCCAACCTTGTTTTCTGACTGCTAATTCATATTCATCCAATAATGAATAAATGTGACAGCCCTGGGAACACAGTGATGAAAAAAACAATTCCTGCTCTCAAGGAGCTTGCAGTCTGGTGGAAGAGACAGAGAAGTAGGCAAATACAGCAAAAGTTTTCTTACATGAGCTCTACTAAAAACAGACTCAGGACCAGCAGGTGGCATACTGGTTAAGGCACTGGACTCCCACACGGCTGAATGCGGTTCAAATCCCATGCCTGGCGACTTGAAAATCATGCTGAGTGTGTATGTGTGTGTGCATGCCCAAAATCCTGAGAGGAGAACAGAGGAAAAGGGACTGCAGCATGGCCATCTCCTGGGGGGGGGAGGGGGTGATTTCTCACTTTCCCTCTTTATGTCTCTGTCATGTGCTATGTAAGAGAGAGAGATTCATCATATTAGCCAATATTCCCCATTCCTGTTGAATTCTGTAGGCCGCGCCCCAGGACCTGCCTCCTTCTGCTTCCATCTGCAGATTTACACTTCATATGGATGTCAGCTCTATTTGTTTCCAGATCTGTTTATATCAATTGTGCCCCTAATTATGAAATCTCATCAATAACATGTAAATTGATAAAAGAGGGGTGCCCAAAGATATCTCTATAAACACTGTTAGTTGTGGCTTTAGAAAGGACCTTTGTTCAAACACTATTTCTCTCACCCAAAGGTCCCCTCCTACACCCTCCACATCCAAACCAGAGGTCGACAGCTGGAACACGTCCCGTAAGAGGCTGTCCTAGGCGCTGCAGCCACTTCCAGCTCTCCATCCCGAGGTGGCAATAATGGCTCTTTCTGCTGACCTCTTTCTCGGGGTGCTCATTGCTTACCATCTAGCATTCCATTTATTCATGTATGCACTTGATTGCTTCATAACCTATAGACACTTCAAGACAAGTCCATTTCTGCCCCTTTCCTAGTGTGTGGTGCTCCTTCTTGAATATAGAAGGGCACTAAAAAATATTAGCTGAATAAACTTGTAAACAAGTTTCAAACAGTGACACATAAATTTGTTATGGAGAGTCAGACGAAATTAATTTCCGAGTTTTCCATTATTTTCCATTGTAGAATTATCCAAGTCACATCCTCATTCTGGATTTTCTAAGGGTTATGTTTTAGTATACATGTGCAGAAGTTCTTTTATAAGAAGCTTCATAGATTGAACAAAGCTCCCCACAGACAAACAACCCCAACTCTTCCTATCACTAATAATTTGCATTAGCAGCCACAAAGATCATTTTTTACTTATCTAGTATGTGTACTGCTCTATTTGAAGTAGTAACTTCTAAATAACTTGTGTGGAAAACAAAAATGGTTAAATGCAAATATTTTTGCATAGTTAAAAAAACTTTTTGCCATCTTTCATTAATTCATTTTTAAGGTTTTTGGCATAGGGTGCGTGTGCTTGCCAGAGAAGGCCAGAGAGAGAGACAATGAGAAGGAAAATGAGAACTCATCCCCTGGGGGATGGCCACACTACAATTCTTTCTCCTCCATTCTCCTCCTGGGATTTGGGGCAGGCATGCACATGCACCCAGTGTGATATTAAAGCTGCAAGGTCTGGCACTTGAACTGCAGTTTGGCCATGTGGGAGTCCAGCACCTTAACCACCATGACACCTGCTGGCTCTGTATAATTGTTTAAGAGTTGAAAAGCAGCAAGGAAAAATCTTTACTAATATTGTCAACATTTATTTTTTTCCCTCGTGAAGCATTGAGGGTGGTGGATACAGGATCACGCTTGACTTTCAATAGCCTGGCCATGATTTAACGTACTCACCCACCCCCCACCTGCACATTTGTATAATTCACAAAAGAGTCAAAAGGCACACTTTGCTACTCACAGTGATCCATCTTTGACTTAAGGCAATACAAGCATTTGTCAGGGTCATATCGTAACTGCAAAGATGAAAAAATATTAAAGATGAACTTTTATTGAAGACACATGCTTTTGCATAACTATAGTTTTAGAGCTCATAACATACTTAAATTTCAAGGAAAATTTTAAGTAAAGATGAAGAACCCCAAAGTGATGGAAATAGGACATGTTTTACCTGACTTTAATATTAATGGCATCAGCTAAGAGCTCGCAAGTCCAAGTGGATACAATATTCATGAAAACCTGACTATTCTTCAAAGAGAATGCAAAAGATTGCCATATGCTCAAGTGCTAAAAGTTAAAGCAATCGGAATGAATTGGGCATATTTAGTGTTTGCTGTACAACAGGAATAATTCCAGGCATTTAGGGCAACACACAAACAATACAAAATCCCTGCTCTTATGGATTCTCATGATTGTTTCAACCATCTAATCACCCAAGAAACTCATGAGTACCTGCTATGTGACAGGCACTGTTCTAGACATTACATCTGAAAATACTCTGAAATCAAGGCCAGCAGGTGACAGAGTGGTTAAGGTGCTGGACTCCCACATGGCTGACCATGGTTTGAGTCCTAGACCCGATGGCTTAAAACTCATGCTGGGTGCGTGTACATTGCATGCCCAAAATCGTGAGAGGGGCATGAAGAAGGGATTGTGGCGTGGCCATCCCCCTCGGAGGGTGGTTTCTCACTTTCCGTCTCACTGTCTCTCAGTCTCTCCAGCAAGCACACACACTCTACAGCAAAAATTTCTCCACCACACACACACACACACACACACACACACACACACATACACAGACATCAAAATCACTGTGTGACTTCAATCCTATTTTTTTAGAAGTAGAATTTACATACATTTTGCAACAATAGAAAAGAACATGTGATGTGTATAGAATTCTAGCAAAACATCCTTTTTTCCCCCATAAATGACACTTGCTGTGGAAATGTTTATATTAGAGAAGAGAGTGTCATCTGCCCTGCAGGGCCTAAATGAAGTGTGTTTTGATTAGTACCCACTGAACCTGCCTTAAAGAGAGCTGAGTGGACTCCTGCTTGCTCCCTGAGCTGCCAGCCTGTATTCAAGGAGCACTCAGGCTGCTCATTGCAGGAAGCCATGTTTGCCTTCCAGAACAAACGGGATCAGAGGTCCTCACCTGCTCAGGCCACAAACCACCTGCCACTAGGGCAATTCTTAGCACTGACTGCTTAAACTACAACAGCACACTGGAAAACCTTTGGCTGGTGTTTCTTAGTGTCCTGAAATTTCTTTCTCGGTATAATTAGTTGGCATGGTGGTTAAGGCACTGGATTCCCACACAGTCAACCAAACTCTGAGTCTCAGACCCAGCAGCTTGAAAGTCGTGTGGGGCATGTGTGTGCATGTCCAAAATCCGGAAACAAAAATGGAGGAGAAGGGATTGTGGTATGGCCATCCCCCCTGAGGGTGATTTCTTTCTTTCCCTGTGTTTCTCTCTGTCTCTCTCCAGTGAGCGCACACGCCCTATCGCAAAACAAAACAAAACGAAACAACCACAACAACAAAAAAAGACTCAAGTTAAGGATTAGTCCAGAGAATGACGCAGCCCCTACTTGAAGGCAACATCTGAAAGAGAAGTGATACTCAAAACCAGACATGTGCCTCGCTGCCAGGGTGCCTATAAAAGGCTTTCATAAGCAAACAAGTAAATGTCAAGGTAAAACTGGGGCAGCCATGATGAAGACATGGCACATGGTACCAAGAGATTCTAGAATAGGAGATTTGACCTGGTCAAAGAGATCAAGAAACGCTTCCTTGTCTATCTGCCCCTCTTTCTCATGGCAGAAATAAATACAGAAATTGAAAAAAAAAAAAAAAAAAAAAGTGGAGGGCCAGGTGGCTGCATAGCAGCAGTGCAGACAGACCCAAATGGGAAAGGTCCTGGGTTCGTGTCCTGTGACCTCCCGGAACACAGCTGGCACACATGTGCCTGTGATCTAGGCCAGCTGAGACCAGAGACAGCGCAGTGACCCTGTTGGGGTCCGACTCTCTTTCAGAGAAAGAAATAAGTAAACATCAAAAAACCAGAAGCTTCCATGAGGAGGTGGTTCTTGAAACCGAGGTTGGAAATTACCAGAGCAAAGTATTTCCAGTGGAGGGAACAGCATGCTCAGGCACCAGGTGGAGGAAATGTGGAGAGCTGGAGAGACCCCAGAACTGTCAGGACGACTGAAGCAAAGGGAGCCAGCGCATTACGGGCCTTGGAGTCCTGCCCAAAGGATTTTGTTTGAGCCCAAGAGCCACGGGGTGTCACTGAAGATGGCTGAACTGGGGGACGGCAAGGCACAGCTGCATTTTTAAAGGTTTACTCCAGCTTTAGTGTGAGGAATGACTGGGAGGGCGCAGGAACGGGCATGGTGCACGGCTTTGAAGTCAGGGCAGTCTTCCGGGAGGAACTGCTAATGTGAGACTGAACTTGAATGGTGGGGGTGGAAATGGAGGGAAGTAGTGACCTCGAGAGATAAATGTGTACCAATGAGGAGCACACCACGAAAGTCAGAAGGACTTCGAAACCACAACCTGTCCTGCCACGGATCAAAGAATTCTCTGTGCTTTCAGATTTTCTAAGAAACTCTTTGTACAGGGTCCCTGAGCATGTGAATGATTCCAGGGTTCCTCTGGCACTTTGGTGCTGCGGAGAAACCATCTCAAGGCGTCTAGGATGAACCAAGCCCCAAAAAGGATCTTTTAGTAGCGGTGACATCAAAGAAACACCTTTCAAGAACTCACTTTTCACACAGACTTCATAGTTCCAAAATCAACAGCCAAAGGCTTCTTTACTCTTTAACTTCCTGTAGCTGTCTTTTATACTAATTAGGCCACTGAAATGAAGAGTCTTAGAAAAGATTCCTAATTTCAAATTCCCTTTTTTTCAAAGCTCCTTCTGCCCACATGATTGTTAGCACATCACACTGCTGGTCGCTCTATCACTTCAAAGCTACTTCTTCCTGCAGCTTCCTAACAATAAACAACTTTAAAAGCTCCTTTTGATTTTTTTAGAGAGAGATTTTTGCTATAGGGCATGTGCACTCACTGGAGAGAAAGAGAGAGAGAGAGAGAGAGAGAGAGAGAGAGAGAGCAAGAAATCACCTCACCTCCTAGTGGGGATGGCTTTTTTTTTTTTTTTTTTTGAGAGGTTTTTGCTATAGGGTGCATGAGCTCACTGGAGAAACAGAGAGAGAGACAAAGAAAGCGAGAAATAACCCCCCAGGGGGGTGGCCATGCCACAATCCCTTCTCCTCCATTCTCCTCTCAGGATCTTGGGCGCACACGCGCCTGGCGTGAGTTTAAGCCACTGGGTCCAGGACTCAAACTGTGGTTGACTACATGGGAGTCCAGTGACATAGCCATTACGCTAACTGCTGGTCCCTAGGGGGGGTGGTTTTGTCACAACCCTCCTCTCCTCCACTCTCCTCCTGGGATCTTGGGCATGCACGCACATGCTCCTGGCATGAGTTTCAAGCCAATGGGTCTCGGACTCAAACTGTGGCCGGCCATGCAGGAGTCCAGGGCCTTAACCATTACACCGCCCACTGGCCCCAGCTTCTTCTGATTTTAGTCTGTTTTGCTGGCATCTTTCTTCTGTCCTGGCTTTCAAAGCTTTACTTCTAAGGTTCCAAGCTTTACTTCTTGTATTCTTCCTCGAAGTCCCTTCCAGGCTGATGTCCAAATTCATAACCATTTAAATTACTAGTTTCCTCACCAATAGCTTGATAGGTATTTTCATATCTACTAAAATAATAGATACTAACAGATTTTTTTTTTAATTGGTAGTGGGAATATGTGTTTGCTAGAGAGCGAGACAGAGAGGGAGAAAGCATCCCTCCTCCATGGGGCATAATGCCACAACGCCTTCTCCTTCCTTTCTCCATCCTGCTGGGATTTGGGGCACGCACACATACATGCCTCGTGTGTTTTACAAACCACAAGGATCAGGATTAAAACCATGGCCAGTCATATGGGATCTGACTCCCTAACCACTATACTACTGGGCCAGCCCACTTAATAAATAGATATTTTAAACAAAACACATTGTGGGGACCAGCAGTTGTAATGGCTATGTCACTGAACTTCCATGTAGTCGACCATGGTTCGAGTCCCGGACCCTATCCTTTCAGATAGTCTTGTCCCACCAGCCCTGCATTAATTACCTCGGGTCTTCATTATATAAGGTTATTGCAATAATTAACAAGATAATGTGTATGACAGCACTTAAACTATGAAGTACCAGAATAAAAGTATTAGTTTGGTAGTACCTTTTAAGACATTAAATGGATTTATTGATCATTTTTACCATCTACCTGTTTCCAAAACAGAAATGGAAACAATTCCATTGCAATCACCTCTCCCTCACTTCTTAGCTCCTGTTTTCCACCATGTTCTGTGATATCCTGGATTGTCCAGTCACTGGGGAACTTGACCACACCTCCTCCATGTTCAAAGCGTCTAATATTCCAGTCAAACCCTCTTCGATCTGGCCATTCAGCGTATTTTACAAACACATATAACAATGGCTCATCATTTTTTCTACCAGATGTCCTGCGGTTCTCCTGTATACCAGTTATACTGGGTCGTTTAATGTATGCAATTTCTACGATCCCATGGAAAGACAATGAGTGGTGGAATGTGTAGCAGTAGCATTCTCATGTGGCTCATGGAAGATCAGGGTTCAGGTCTCATTCCAGGAGGATGTTAGTTTAAAGGCAATTTACTGTGGGGTTAAGACAGCCAGGGTTGGGCCAGCCCTATGGCCTAGTGGTTACCGAAGCTGATTCTACATGGCTGACTGTAGGATATGAGTCTGGACCCAGTGACTTGAAAAACATGCAGGGCACAATGTGTGTGCATGCCCAAAATCCTGATGGAAGGGAACAGTAGAGGAAAAAGGATTGTGGCATGACCAAATCCCACTGGGAGGAATGCTTTCTCCTTCAGTCTCTCTCTCTCTGGCTTGTGTGCATGAGGGGGGGGGGAAATGTCTACCCAGCTTAATTTTTCTCTTCTGGAAATGCAAACAATAACTTATAGCACTATTTTAATGACTAATATAATACTTAAGAAATGTTATTTTTCATACTGCAAAAGTTGAAGGAAGGGACAATAGCTTACCCTTCTCTAAATCTATCACCATCCTTGTGCAGAAAGGAAGCACTCAATAATTACTGATACTTGAGACGAATTTAACTTAGGAATTAATATATTAAAAGAGGGGGAAAATTAAAATATGAAGGGTTCCTCAAAACATTCATTAAAAATGCATATTATGAAAAAACTGCATGGATTTTGAAATTACTTTGCACCAAAATAAACTTGTACTTAAATTCCATTTTTCCACAAACTTTTTGACCTCCTACTTAGACTTAAAGTTATAAATTTAGATTTGTAAGTCATGGAACTATTCTTTTGGCCTCAAGATTAAATTCAAAGATCTGCTGTAATGGCTATGTTGCTAGACTCCCATGTAATTGACCATGGTTTGAGTTCTAGACCTGGTGGTTTAAACTCACGCTGGGTGCGTATGCGTGTGTGCCTAAGATCCTGAGAGGAGAATGGAGGAGAAGGGATCGCGGTGTGGCCATCCCCCCTACGGGGTGATTTCTCGCTTTCTGTCTCTCTATCTCTCTCTGTCTTTCTGGTGAGTGCATGTGTCTTATAGCAAAAACCTCTCCAAAAAAAAAATTCAAAGATCTAAGAACTCTACTCTTGACACTATTAACAGCTTAAGGAGGACATATATCCTTTCGGATATTTTGAGGAGTTCTAGGATAGAGAAGATTGAGAAGCCTTCCTAAGCATTAGCAGCTAGCTAAATACTTACTTGGGTTTTACAGGAGGCAGTCCAGGGGAGTAGAGCCAGGCATTCCAATCAACTTGATTGAGAATATCAACCTGTACACAGTAAGAATACCCAGTTTGCTATAGAATGACTTTTTGTTAAAACAAAAATCTAAAACAAATGTTTTAAACCTCAAATCTATAATTTTGTCTACCCCACTATTTTGAGATAATTTCCAAACCTCTTTTCTTAAATAAATTTATATTCATCAGTTCTGTTAAATAATTTAAGTGGGATATTAAAGATACAAAAAATAAAACTCTGAAACATACTATTGAGAATCTCTGAAACAGAAAAGTATGTACACATTAGTTCATATTGTCACGATCACATTCTAAACAGGAAAAATAGCAGTAAAAGACGGCCAATTGGGCTGGCCCCATAGCCCAGTAGTTAAGGGAGTAGGAGCCCATGCGGCTGACTGTGGTTTGAATCCCAGTCTGGGCAGCTTGAAAACATGCTGGGCATGTGTGCGTGTGTGCCCCAAATTCTGACAAGATGGAGAAATAGAGAACAGACTGACATGACCATGCCCAGTGGAGAATGATTTCTCCGTCTCTCCCTCCATCTCTCTGTCTGTCTCTCTCTGGCAAGTATATGTGGCCTTAGGCAATTAAAAAAATAAAGGACTGCATGTTAAAACAAATTCTGAACTAATGGTGCTATTAAGTAATTCAAGTGAGCCTAATAAGTAGTCAGTAAATATATATCTACTAGGCAAGAAAAATAAGATGGTTTTTAAAATCCAACCTTATCTTTAAAGTGAGAATATAGGAAATCCTTCCAGTCATCAGTAGTTATGCTCTTGTAGGAAAATTCTTTCACATAAGCCTTTAAGAATCCCAGGAAAACCTCTATGAGTAAAAAAAAAAAAGTAGGGAGAGAAAAGGAAATCAATCCATAGAACAGTAATTACAACATTTGACATGTTTTCATGCTTGGCATCAGAGAACATTCAAAGAATGGGGAAGCCAATGAGGGTTTTAAGAAGTTAAAAAAAAAAAAAACCCTTAAGTTGGCCCTTAGAGAATACAGGCGTTGGGGGTCGGGGTGAGTCTTGAAAAAGTTTGTGGAAAATATGTATTATGGAAAAAATTATGTGTGGATTTTTTTACACCAAAATAAACTTGTGGGCTAGCAGGTAGAATGGTGATTAAAGCATTAGATCCCACATGACCAACTCCATAGTTCGAGTCCTAGACCTGGTAGTCTGAAAAACATGCAGGGTATCTGTGCATATGTACCCAAAATTCTAAGAGGAGAATGATGGAGAAGAGAGTGTGGCATGACCATCTCCCCTGGGAGGGTGATTTCTCACTCTCCCCCTCTCTGTGTCTCTTTCTGACAAGCACATGGACCCCATGGCAAAAATTTAAAAATAAAATGAAACTAACTTGTACTTTAATTCTATTTTCCACAAACTTTTTGCAGTCTCATCATATACGTAATTTAGTAGAATGAACAAAAAATTTCTAGTTACAGGTAAGGGGATGACACAGTGACAACACAGAAAAGGAATATACAATTTCTAAAAGCAATAACCCTTGTATGCCAAGAAAGGAGGAAAGCTGAATGGGACAAGCAAAATGTGTCCAGGTGTAGGAGGGCCTTCAAAGTCAATTGATACTGGAGAAGTCATCAACACCCATCAGAAGGTGAAGGTTACACACACTCAGCCCATTTCTATAAACACTAGGATGACATTAAACGTATAGGTAGATTTATATGTACAGCCATACAAGGATGTATATAAAATATTGAAGAAAAAGCCAACAAAACAAATGCAGGCTCTACAGTATGATCCATTTTTTGTAATTAATATAATTATATATGTGTGTGTATATATATATGTGTATACTTTTTCATTTTCACTTACAAAACAATCTGGAACTGCATATACCAAACTGCTAAAAGTGCCTACTCCTGGGGAGTAGAAAGGGCTGAAGGGATTCTTACTTGTAGAAAGGTTTTTGATGAATATATGCTAATATCCAAATTTAAAAAATACTGATGAGATTTTTTTTTAAAGAATGAATGACTGGGTTGAAAAAATATGGCACCTGTACACTATGGAATATCGATCAGTTATAAAAAACAATGAGACCCTATTATTTAATACAAAGTGAAAGAACATAGAAGATTTAATGCTGAGGAAAGAAAGCCAGACTATGAAAGACACACTGCATGTCCCCACTCAATATATACCGAATGTCTGCATGCTATGACAGAAATTGAGACCCAAAGAGATAATGATAGGCAAGGTCAATATGGATATCAAAACACTATAGGGGAGAAGGGTGGGCAGCAGGCAGTGGGGTGGGAGGGGTTTAGGGAGGAAGTACTCGACTGACATAAGAATGTAAAATTCTCTGATGGAAAAGGTGCATATGGTAACATCCTTGATGGTAATGTAATGCATGCATGTTTTTGAAAAACTATATTGTGTGTTATGAAGATGTACAACTAACTGTGAAGAAGAAATAAAAATAAAATAATATACATAACTAGCACATTTTAAAAAAAAAAAAGAAAGAAAAAGGCATGGTCTCACCATGCTGCAATACTGTCTTGGCCCCCCAGCTGGGAGAACAATAATTTCTGTCTTAACCTCCATAGTTATTGGGAATATAAGCATGTGCCACCATGCCCAACTTTTAGGTTGGATAGAGAACTGAACCTGGGCCTTCCATGTGGTCCCAGCCAGCAAAACACAGCATCTTAACAGCACTCACCACCACAACAAGGCCTGTTTTTTTTTTTTTGTTTTTTTTTTTTAAGTCAAAAAGCATAATTTCTTTGACTCCTGACCTACGCTAAGAGCCAGGGCACAGTTGCTGGTTCCATGCTCCTGTTGTCTCAGCTGTTTGGGAGGATCATAACATACAAGACTCTGTCTAAATATTTTTTGAAAGTATAATTTAAAAGTCACGGGTTATTCGAAGTTTTAAGTAGAAAGGTAACATTAATAAATTATATAGATTTCTCCAGCAGCTACATATAGAATGCACTGGTAGTATAAAATGGAATAAAAACAACAGTTTACAATTCTTTCTTGTTTTTCATATTACCCTCAAAAAGAAACATTTCTTAAAAATATCAATAAATGCCAATAGCTTACCTGGTCCTCCAAGAAGTTGTTCAAGGTAAAAAAGTAAAGCAAAACCTTTCTCATAGGGAACTGAAGAGTAAGCGACATCAGGGTCTGTATCTGACAGATCAACCACGAGTTTAGTGAAAGGACTTGTTTCCCCAAAAGTCTTTATCTGCAAGACATGAAACGAGATGAATGTTCACATATGAAGGCTGGTATCACAGAGATAAACTAATGAGGATGCACTACTCTCTTAAAGACATAACGTTAGGGGAATCTAGAATATAGAGACCAGAAATCCTATGATACATTGTCGTAAACTGTGAAGTTTAGCAGAACGGCTACTGATGTAACTAACATTCCCTGATATGTCTTGCCCAATAACAGCCTCTATTCTTATCAAAGACTTTAATCTCTTGCCCAATAACAGCCTCTATTCTTATCAAAGACTTTAAAGGGACCAGCAGTTAGCATAATGGCTATGTTGCTGGACTCCCATGTAGTCGACCGCAGTTCGAGTTCCGGACCTGGTGGCTTAAACTCACACCAGGCGCATGTGTGTGTGTGCCTAAGATCCCGAGAGGAGAATGGAGGAGAAGGGATTGCGGCGTAGCCATCCCCCCGGGGGGTGATTTCTCGCTTTCTGTCTCTCTGTCTCTTTCTGTCTTTCTGGCGAGTGCATGTGCCCTATAGCAAAAACCTCTCCAAAAAAAGAAAAAAAAAAAAAAAAAGATCTAATGCCTGGTCAGCAAATTCAGTTTTCAGGAGAGCACTTGAAAATGACATATACAATATATCAGACCAGTTCCATGGCTCAGAGGTGGTGGTGCTCAGGAGAGACTGATCCCACATGGCAACAGAGGTTAGAATTCCCTGCCCGGTCAGCCTGAAATGTGCCAGTCACATGTGCAAATGCCCAGGATACAAAGGGCTAGAAAGCTGAAGAAAGGCAATTGTGACATGACCAGACCCTGTGGATAGGTCTTCTCTCTCTTTCACAGATGCACTCATGCATTCTATCATGAATCGAGAGGAAAAAGATATAAATATACTAAATAAAATTCAAACATACAACCAAGTATTTTTAAAAATTTGTTATAGGGGGTGTGCATTCACTAGAGAGAGATGGAAAGGGAAAGCGGGAAAACACCCCCTGGCAGGGGCATATACTTGCCATAGTTCCTCCTCCTCCATTCTCCTATAGGGATTTGCCATGTACACACATGCGCCGGGCGTGTTTCTCAAGCTGCTGGGTCTGGGACTCAAACCATGCCATTGGCCATGTGGGATCCTGCCACCTTAGCCACCAGCTGGCCCATAACCAGCTATTTTATTAACACCAAAGACCCAGTGAGGTCTCACAGCTCTACATTCAGGCCAGGTCATGAACACTAGCTAATGGTGGACAATAAAGGATGCATATCCATAGAGTATGATACCAGCATCTCCTCCACTGTCCACATCTGTAAGAATGACTTGCTTGCTGCTATTTAGTAAGAAGCTTTACAAATTTAATTTTTGAATACCTATACAACTCTGGATGAAAGCTTTTAAATGTTCGATTCATTTACCGAATTCTGTAGTTCTCCCCATCCTCCCAGGGCATGAAAATGTCGGAACTTTTCACCAAACAGCCGTCCACAAATGTGGCGTTCCAAATACACAGTATGCCCTTCATTTAACCTGAACAAAAAATTTAAATGTTAAAACGCAGCACTTTGCACAGAGAAAAAATCGGCATTCTAATCAACAGATGTTTCCTTTGTGGTTTTTCAACAAAGGAAAGCAATTGCAAAGCAGGACCACTATGGTCTAAGCAGAAGGTTCCAGGCATTTAATTCAGAGCAATGGCAAGCCCAGCCCAGCAGATGGCAGCAGGGAAAACAAGTCATGGTTCTGGTTTTATATGTATGTATTAAAAATGTGACTATATGAGGAGCTGAATAATTCCCATAAACTAACATCATGACAAGTGGTAGAGAATATATTTTAAAAATTTCTATCAAGGAGATCATAAAGAGAAACAAGATTATACACATGAAACAATTCAGAGTAGTAGGAGATGAGGAAAAAATCAATCAGTGACAAGAAACAATGAAGAAAACATTAAAAAAAAAAAGAAAACTTACCAAAAGTGATCCCAAGTTTTGTTGGTCACTAGATTTCCTGTCCAACTATGAGATATTTCATGCGCAATAACCTAAAGGAAATAGTGTAATTAGTAGTAAAATTGATTACCTTAGTTAAAATAATCCACTATATAAGCACTTTTGTTTTTTCAATGCCACATTATTCAATGTTTTTAAAACACTAGCTGACATATTCAGGGAGTTACTTAGTTCTGCCAAAAAAAAAAAAAAAATCTGTAGTTTAATCAAAGACCAAAAACATAAGGTAGTTAAAATAATTTTAAACAAAAAATTATTTAGAAACTATTAAATGGATATACCACCCCATTAGAAATATATTGTAATCATATGAAGAGATTAAACAATACAATTTTCTGAAGTCTGTTAAACTTAATTGTTAAAGGAATGATGTTTTACACTAAGAATCCCCAAGTTATCATTTAATCTGTACCTTTAACATAATACCATAATGAATATATATATTTTTAATTTGCTATAGGGCATATGTGCTTGCCAGAGAGAGAGAGACAGAGAGAGTGAGGGGAAAGTGAGAAATCACCCCCCAGAGGGGATGCCCACACCATGATCCCTTCTCCTTCATTCTCCTCTCAGGATTTAAGGCACGCAGGCACACATGCGCCTCCAAACAAGACTTGTTTTCCAAGTCTCCAGGTCTGAAACATGAACCACGTGGTCGGCGATGTGGGATCTAGTTACCTTAACCACCATGCCACCTGGTTAGCCCACCACAATGAATTTTTCAAACTCAACTAACTGAATACTTCTTGAGGGTAATACCATAAGAAATGTTAACTTACATTGGAGAGTGATTTGTCACCTGCCTACAGAGAAAAAGAAAAATTAGCTTAGTATTTCAGTAACAAAATTACAGACTATATCTAAAATCTGCCCACTTTAACAGTTAGTATATTGGCATTAACAGGCATTATATTTCTACTACAGTACTTGAAAGGGCTCAAAAATGACATGCTCTGGGAAAATAAACCCCAAAAATACTGAACTGAAAAGTCATTCTTGCTCTGATTTAAAAAATACTAGAGGATTTTTCTGTACTAGAAGGAAAGAACTCTTGTCTCTAATTAGCTTCCAGGAAACATTTCTCCTACTTCCATGTTTTATAATCTACTCTTTTTTTATAATCATTTAATTTATTTATTCATTCATGTATTTTATTTTGACTAGAGAGAGACACACACAGAGAGAGAAGGAAAGTGAGAAAGCAAACCACCAGATCTGAGGCTCAAACCATGGTTGGCCATGTGACAGTGTCCAGCACCTTAACCACCATGCCACCTGATGGTCCCATAATCTACTCTTATTTATCCACCACCTTCTTTTTTTTAAATTTTTTTGTCATAGGGGGTGTGTCCTGGTGAAGAGAGACAGAGAGACAAAGAGACAGAGGGAAAGTAAGAAATCACCCCTCTAGAGGGGATGGTCACACTGCAATCCCTTCTCCTCCATTCTCTTGGGATTTGGGGGCATGCATACATGCACCCGTTGTAATTTTCAAGCCACCAGGTCCAGGACCCAAACTGTGGGTCCAGTACTTTAACCACCACACCAGCGGTTCCCTATCTACCACGTTCTTTCTCTCCTTATTACCCATAATATATTTAAGGAAAGTTTATAATATTCAGTGCGTATTTCACTCTACTTATTTAGTAGCTAATCCATTACTTATTTGATTCTAGGAAGGATTTAAAGTAGTTTACAGGGCATATGAAAGATAGCAACATACTGCATGCAGTGCAATAACTGCAGGTTAGGTGTTCATGATGGAGCTTTTTGTCTGCATATATAATTCATCAATGGATTGTTATCACCTAGCACCTCCATCCCCAGCATTCCCCAAAACCTTGAACAAACTGAAATGGCTAAATTATTTTCCTTTGAAAAATGAGATTTTGATAACCGCAATGAGTAATAAAATTAGAAACAAGGGTTACATGAACAAGTGAAAAGTTGTTTTGTTTGAATATTATTAGGATCCTATAATCTATCTAGGCTTTTTTTAAAAAATTTTTGGCATAGGGCATGTGTGCTCACCAGAGAGAGACAAAGAGCGGGAGAACATGAGAAATCACCCTCTAGAGAAATGGCCAAGCCACAGTCCTTTCTCCTCCATTCTCCTCTTAGATTTTGAAGACACACACACATACACACCCAACATTTTTTTCAAGCTGCCATGTTCAGAACTCAAACTGTGGAGTTGGCTATGTGGGATCTGGTCCCTTAACCACCATGTCACCAGCTGGTCCCTCCAGGCTATTTTTTTAATCAAGAGAGAGATTTTTGCTATAGGGTGTGTGCACTCGCCAAAGAGACACAGAAAGTGAGAGAGAAATCGCCTCTCCCCCCTCCAGGGGAGATGGCCATGTCACAATTCCTTCTCTTCCATTCGCCTCTTGGGATTTTGAGCACATATGCACATGTGCCTGGTGTGAGTTTTAAGCTGCCAGATCCGGGACTCAAACAGTGGTCAACTACGTGAGAGTTCAGTAATGTAACTATTACGCCATCTGCTGGTCCCAACCCTCTAGGCTTATTTTTTAGAAGACTTCAATTTCAAATAAAGAACTGTTAACACTCACCAGTAGAGTAGGTGTTACAAAAGTCAGACAAGGGTTCTCCATGCCACCGTAAGGGAACGATGGGGGCAGGACTAACAGGTCATACTGTCCCCATACATACTGTCCTCCCAGATCTTCTGCAATTTTAAGCATAGATTCAGTCTGAAAAATGAATGCATATATATTTGCATTGTCTTGATTATTACTATAGTACATTACTTAAAAATACATACTGCTTTCTATGATGGTTACAAGCTAATAACACTTACTTTAAAAGAAAATAATAACAAGTAGAACTTAAAATTCACATAAAACCTAAGACAAATTTATTCATTTACCTTATACTTAAAACTATCACATTAGACATTCAAAATCTGAAATCTACTGTTTACAGTTGTTAAAAAGATAACTATGTGACCAACCTCAGAAAATTCACAAGCGGATTTATCCACCTGCTCTTTCTCAGACCACACCAAAGTTCTTGGGCCAATCTGCCTGCAAAATTAAAAGGCTTCATAAAAAGGAAAGTCAAGGTAAATTACTCATCTGGCTCTATGAAGGATTTAAAGTCTTGTACACAAACCTTTAGAGTTGAAGTGTGGTTTTGCCATGTGCTTATGGGAAAAGGTTGAGGTTGCAGGTCTCTGAGACACCAACCTGTTGTTGTGTCTGTGGCAATGGACAGAGAGCTCTATAATGAGGCCCGGTCTGGATCAGAGGAGAACCAAGACATAAAAGTGCCCCCAATGATTAGTTTACTGGCTCTGGGAAGACCTCTGGGAATTTCGCTTCCTGCCTCCAATTCACAACTATGGAAACCCAATCACAGCACAAGAACATTATTCCAGAACCAGGCAGATGGAAACTTTGTCACGCACTTAAAGACTGAACACTCTTTTGTAAGAAGAAACGAATAGCAAAGGAAGGAAATCCTATCACATGAGACAACATGGATGAACCTCGAGGGTGATATGCCATGCAAAATAAGCCAGTCACCAAAGACAAATACAAGGCCAGCAGTGGTATGGTGGTTACGGTGGCTGGATCCTACATGGCGAACAGCATGGCTCGAGTCATGGACCTGGTGACTTGAAAAACACGCCTAGTGGGACCAGCAGTTAGCGTAATGGCTATGTCACTGGACACCCATGTAGTCGACTGCAGTTCGAATCCCAGACCTGGTGGCTTAAACTCACTACAGGCGCGTGTGCATGCATGCCCAAGATCCCGAGAGGAGAATAGAGGAGAAGGGACTGCGGCATGGCCATTCCCCCAGGGGGTGATTTTTCACTTTCTGTCTCTCGGTCTGTGTCTTTCTGGTGAGTACACGTGCCCTATAGCTAAAACCTCTCAAAAAAAAAAAGATATAAAAAAACCCCACACACCTAGTGCATGTACGCCCAAAATCCTGAAAGGAGAAAAGGAAGAAAAGGGACCATGGCATGATTATTTGCCATGAGGGTGCTTTCTCACTTTTCCTGTTCTCTCTCTCTCTGGTGAGTGCATGTATAACTTCTGATAGATTGAAAGAAAAATAAAAAGAATCTTCAGAAGACAAATACTATTTGATTCCTCTATATGAGGTTTTTAAAGTAGTCAAATCCATAGAAATGGAAAATATAATGATAAGTTACCAAGGACTCAAGGTAGGGGGAAGAGTTGCTGAATGGGTATAGACATTCAGTTTTGCAAGATGAAGAAGCTCTGGGGATCTGTTTCACAATGGTATGAATATACTTAACATCAAACTGTACTTCAAAATGGTGAAGATGCTAAATTTTATATACTTTTACTCCTATAAAAAAGAAGCAACGAATACTATCAGAAACCAAAAATATCTTTTTGGGGGCTGGCAGGAGGCGTGGTAGCTGGGGCGCTGGGCTTCCACATGGTTGATAATAGTTTGAGTCCTGGACCTGCTTTCCCGTTTTCCCTCTCTCTCATTCTATCTCTGATCAACTTTAAAAAATAATAATGACGATGAATAAAATGAAATAAAAAATTTTTTTGAGAGACAGATTTTTGCTATAGGGCACTTTGCTTACCAGAGACGTAAAGACAGAGAGACAGAAAGTGAGAAAGCATCCCCCCAGGGAGGATGATCACACCACAGTCCTTTCTCCTCCATGCTCCTCTCTGGACTTTAGGCACACATGCACACATGCCCACCATGTGTTTCAAGCCACCAGGTCTAGGAATCAAACTGTAGTCAACTCTGTGGGAGTCCAGCAACAGAATCATTATGCCTTCTGCTTGTCCCAATAAAACGGTTCTTAAAAAAATCTTTTTCATCTCAATTTCATCTTAACAAATTTATATAACACCAAACCCCAAACAAGATTGTGCCTTGGTGTGCAGGTGGCATGGCAGTTAAGGACGCTGGACTCCTACATGGCCGACCATGGTTCAGATGGCTAGCTTTTTCACTTTCCCTTCCTCTCTCCGGTCAAATTAAGAAATAATAATTATAAAGTCAAATAAAATAATTCTTAAAAAAAAAAAAAGATAGTGCCTTGGTATCCTGTCCTAGACACAGCAGGCTCTAGAGTGGTGCTTCTAAAACTGTAATGTGCGCACCAATGAACTGGTGAGCTTGTGAAAATATGAATTTTGATTTAGTAGGTCTGGGATAAGCCCAATAATTTGCATTTCTAACCAAAGCCCAGGTGATGACAAAGCTATGGGTCTACAGCCTACACTGAGGTAACAGCAGTAACCAGAGCTATCCAATATAAATAGAACTAGAGCCACAAATGCAAACCACCTTATGTAGTTTGAAATTGTCTAGCAGGCACGTGTTTTATAGGAGCAAAGAATTTCTTTCTTTCTTTCTTTGAGAGATTTTTGCTATAGGGCATGTGCACTTGCCAGAGAGACAGAGAGACAGAAAGCATGAAATCACTCCCCCAGAAAGGATGGCCACACTGTATCCCTTTTCCTCCACTCTCTTCTCAGGATTTTGGGTACACACACACACACTCGGCATGAGTTTCAAGCCGGTGTGTCTGGGACTTGAACCATGGTCAACCATGTGGGAGCCCAGTGGCCCCTAGCACCTGCTGGCCCCTAGCAAAGACTTTATTAATGTTTTATAATTAGGTTTGACTTTTTCCAGAGCTGTCAACTTGATAGCTTGAGAAATATACAAATTGGTCTACCATTTATTCTGACAGAGGTTCAAGATGTCTAATAAGGCTTGATCTTTTCACAATGCTCAAAACTTGTTCAAAAGCTCACCTGCTTTCTAAAGCTCCAACAACCAAAGCAATCAGGTAGCAGGGTATCGGGACCTAAGTGGGGCAAACAGAGACCACATGCTTGTGTGAGTGTTTACAGACATTAAAGAGTACTTAAAACTGGTCAATCCCTTTCGAATCTCCAAACATCAATATGGATTACGTTCCTTTCGTACTTCTGAAATAGTTCTCACTTTCAAGGGAACACATAGTTCAAAATCGTGACGTAACTCATTTGAGAATATCTATTTCTCTTTCATTCCACCAGGAAAGACAGCATCGGGCATGTGAAAAACATGATTGTATCTAGTACTAAAAAGCACAGTTTAAGCACTTCTCGAAAATGACATATAAGAAAACAACTGTGCTTGCCCTGATGGTTTTTGTTTTTCTCTTGACTTTTAAAACATTTATTTAAAAAAAAAAAATTCCTCTTGTTTTAAACCACTGCTGGCATATTCTAGAGACATACAAAATAATCCAGCAATAAGTAAATACCGAAATGACAGGAGCTTGAAACTTCAGAAGCTAAGGTGGGAGTAAAATTGCCCATTGTCAGATAATTTAAAAATATACGTACAAGGCAGCGTGGACCACTCTGTGATCCCAGCTGCTCGGGAGGCTGAGGTAGGAGGATCATGACTGTAAGTCTCTGTCTCAAACATCATGCATGCACGTACCACACGCAAACATACATACCACAAAAAATACATATGAAGAATTCTTGAAAAACTTCATGGAGAACAATGATCCTCCCCTCTTTTTTTCTTAGGCTTTCATGGTTTGGTTTTGTTTTATACACAATCAATTGCTATATATCATTAGGCTTATAAAGAGAATTTACACAACATAAGTACACCTCAGACCAGTTCAGTTGAGACCGGTATACACATTATCACAACAGGTAATAAACCATTTCGGTGTCCCACAAATGTCTTACCTCTCTATGTTTTCGCGCTAATTTCCTTCCCTACCCCCACTGTTTCCAGTGTCCATATTATCAGTGCTTTTATGTCCTCCGATCTTTCGGCTGATATATGTTAAGTGGAGACATACAAAGTCTCTCTTTCATTATCTGAGTCGCTTCACTCAGCAATAAATCGTCCATATTCGTCCACTTTCTATCAAATGCCAGGGTCTGAAAATGACCTTTATCTTAAAAACTATGCCTGGATTTCAAAAATTCTGCAGCACAATATAAATTCCCATGAACTTTTTGAAGTCCCCTTGCATATGTGTATGTATGTGTATATATACAAACACACACGCTTGCATGCTACACACACTTTCTATTCATTAAAGGTCAAAGATTCAAGTCAAGTTACCGACTATACAGGAATTTTGACTTAAAGGACTATAACCAAGTGCTCTTTTGGTCTAAGACAGTTTTGCTATAAACACTCTAAACAACCACAAGCCCACAGTGCAGTTCCAGGATGGAGAAAAGTAACTTAAATGAACAGGCAGCCTGCAACTGACCAGGACAAGGGAAGACAGAATCCGGCTGCCTCCCTACTAAGCTATCCAGCAGCCTCCTTTCACAGTACAATGCTCTCTGTCAGCAGAACATTAAATCCTTTATAAGCACAAAAGGAAAAGAAATGAAAACAGAAAACGAAAGCTGCTTTCCAAATTCTGGAATATTTCAAAAGCAATTCTGCTCTCTGGATGGGTAAAAGCTATTTGTTGTTTACCACCATCGAAAGCAAAAATCTAGACCTGGTGTCTTACTTTTTGACGGAATCTGTATATTTTTCTGCTCGGGTCTTCTGGGTCAGGGGCTTCTCCATCACGAATAGCACTCATCAGTGCCACCAGTTCTTTAGGGACAGACACCTAGCCAAGAAGAAAAAGTCATTTCCCATTATAAATAAGAGGTCTATATACTTTAAACTATATATAAGTAAAATAACCTTTTTCCCCTTCTTGACTATATAAGAAATAAACAATGACACTCCAAGAGTACATACGTAGCTGGTGCTGCAGTGCTGTACTTTGGAAGCGGATCCTACACAGCCCTCCTTGGTTTGAGTCCCAGGCCTTGGCGGGTTTTTTAAAAACCTGCTGGGTCCCTGTGTGTGCATGCCTAAAATCCTGATGGGATGGACACACCCCATTAAAGAATGATCTCTCTCTTTCTTTCTCTCTAGCATACACAAGTGTCCTCGGGCAATTTAAAGAAAAAGAGCACATATCTATTAGTTTTGTAAACAGAATTGCCAATACGTAAAACTGCGTTCTTTACTAATGAACTTGAAATATCTACCTATCCATTCATCCATTTATATTAAGAACAGAGTTTTGGTAGAAACTAGATAAAACCCCAGCTCTGCCATGCACTAATCCACAGACTTGGGCAAAGGACCTCCCTGAGCCTCAGCTGCTCCATCACATGAGAGAAATCCTTCCCAGCTTTCTGCAAGGAATGAGACAGATGAGAGCTCAGCACCATGCCTGGTAATGAGAGCCCCCCAGCCCCTGCTCCCTTCCACACCCTCAAAACAGATTTGAAAGGATGTTATACTCACGGCAGGACAGAGAACACAACTCTGAATAATTTTATATTAAAAGTAAACACTTATAATTACAAATGGATGAACTCTTCAAGGAGAAACTAAAACATACTGCTAAAAACTATGAAAGAATTTTCCTGGAAATTTGTACGGAAAAGATCCTTATGGAGCAAACCATAGAAAATCATATTCTGAAAGTTTTCCTTTTTTGCTTTCTTTTCCTTCTCTATTTATTCTTCCATGAGAGAGAAGGACAGAGAGAAGAGAAGGAACACACACCCCCAACAGGGCCTTCACACCTTGATACTACTCTCAGAATCATAGGCACATGCACATGGGTGCCTGATGTGCTCAGGGAGGTCCCGGGACACAAACCCAGGATCCTTCCCATGTGGCTCCAAGTGCATTATTGCTACACCACCACCTGGATCCTGAAAGCTTTACTTCTAATAAATGCCAGAAGAAAGGCCTGCTCCTTGAGTATTAATGATCCATTGGGGTCTGAAAAGTCATGATGCATTTCTGCATAAAAAAATACATCAGAACTTTCTTGACAACCTAATAGTAAGCATACATTCCAATAATGTTAGACTGCCATGTTCTTCTCTCAAAGCCCAGAATTCAACTATTACAGACAGAGGCCCAGAACCAGGAGCACCAGAACTGGTACTATAAAAGTCAGAGATCCTAGAGCTCAAAAGCAGTCAGGAAATAATTTGGTTCGGCCTCCTCCCTCCATTTAGGCAGCGGTATGTCCTGGAAATTTGTACGGAAAAGATCCTTATGGAGCAAACCATAGAAAATCATATTCTGAAAGTTTTCCTTTTTTGCTTTCTTTTCCTTCTCTATTTATTCTTCCATGAGAGAGAAGGACAGAGAGAAGAGAAGGAACACACACCCCCAACAGGGCCTTCACACCTTGATACTACTCTCAGAATCATAGGCACATGCACATGGGTGCCTGATGTGCTCAGGGAGGTCCCGGGACACAAACCCAGGATCCTTCCCATGTGGCTCCAAGTGCATTATTGCTACACCACCACCTGGATCCTGAAAGCTTTACTTCTAATAAATGCCAGAAGAAAGGCCTGCTCCTTGAGTATTAATGATCCATTGGGGTCTGAAAAGTCATGATGCATTTCTGCATAAAAAAATACATCAGAACTTTCTTGACAACCTAATAGTAAGCATACATTCCAATAATGTTAGACTGCCATGTTCTTCTCTCAAAGCCCAGAATTCAACTATTACAGACAGAGGCCCAGAACCAGGAGCACCAGAACTGGTACTATAAAAGTCAGAGATCCTAGAGCTCAAAAGCAGTCAGGAAATAATTTGGTTCGGCCTCCTCCCTCCATTTAGGCAGCGGTATGTTATACACATGAGATCATTGAGGCTGAAGGTCCTAAGACTTGCCAGAGCTCATATAGTTACCAAGTGATAGAGAGGAGTCCAAAGCCCTGGGAGTCTATGCTTCTAAGTATAATATCCATATCCTATACCAGGGATGGTTTTGATCAAGATGATCCCATAAATAATAGGTTAATCCTCATTCTGTTTGCTTGGTCTAAATAGGTCTAGTCTCTGGAATACTGTTAATTGATTAATTATAGTTCATCGTTTACCAAAAGGATTATCAGCACCTACAACAGGTGTAAGTATACAGATTAATCTACAATATATGCTCAATAGGATACCTAGAATAGATTTTTTTTTTTTTTTTTGGTCTCTCCTTTTTCTTTATATTTGCCAGAGGAGACATGTGCTCACCAGAGAGACAGAGAAGCAGAGAGAGGGACAGGGAGAAAGCACTCCGTAATGGCACATAGTCAGGCCACAATCCTTTTTCCATTTCTCCAGGTTGTGGAAATTTGGGCATGCACGTACACCTGCCTGGTATGTTTTTTAAGCCATCCGAGCTGGGATTCAAAACACATAGTTGGTCAAATGGGATTCAACTCTCTTAACCACTAAACCATGGGGCTGGCCTATAGTTTATGTGATGACAGAATACACTTACAGGAAGCTTAAACTGCAAATCTCAAGGCTTTAAAGTTAGAAAAGAAAATGGTTCTTTCATTCTTGTTTTTAGATCCAGAATTCTGAATTCCTTTAAAAATCAGAATGGTATACATTTCTTTTTACACTTAAACATTTCAACTACCTTTAAAACAGAGATTCAGAATGGATCCCACTTAATTTCATTAAGTAAAGTATTTCTAGCTCTACAAATTCAATTAGCATCTCCGCTTATCGCTTATACCACATTTACTTATCAAGATGATCTAATTTGGTCAATAATTTGTGATATTTACCTCTGCAGTGTAAGTTAATTTCACAGAAGGAGTGTCCTGGCAAGGAAGTACTGCTCTGCAGTGGATGGCCTGGGAGAGGGGAGAATAAAAAAATCAACGGCTATTACCTTTTCATATAAATCACATCATTAAGAAATTATTACAATTACAGTAATGTTCTTCGACACATTCTTTTAAAAAGTAAAAATAGGTCTCTCATCTCTTAGGATCTTTGAAAGTAGCAAAAATAGATCTGTGGATAAAAAAACTCAAGAGTTTTCATTTCAGTCCATGGTCAAGCCTCATATTTCAGTTGAAGGACCAAGCAGGTGACCAAGCAGTGTTTCCTACTCTGCTCTGATAACACAGAGCCCAGTGGCATGTACTAGCGAACCCAGGAAGAAAGGCTCTGCTCAGGTGTAAACGTGAGACCCCATGGCACATCACTCCGTCTTGGAGAACCACTAGGAACATTCAATTTCTGAAGGCCTAAAAAGATGTATAATAAAGAAACCTCTTTGAGTTCTCACACTTACTGTAACATGAAATCCATTTTTTCTGTGGTTACTTACTTAACATCTAATGGAACACAGTTTGAGAATCATTGCTATAGTCTTAACATTTCAAGCCTGCACTGAACTTTTTCTTTTTTAAAGAATTCTATATTTAATTCATTATCCTTTTATTTTTTAATTTGACCAGATAGAGATACAGAAAGAGAGAGACGGAAAGTGAGAGTATAAGCCGCCAGGTCCAAGACTCAAATCACCATCAGCCATGTGGGAGTCCAGCACCTTAGCCACCATGCTACCTGCTGGCCCCTGCACTAAACTTTGAAAGCAAAAACAAAACGAGAAAGAATAGTTTCATTCGGTACCATCTAGACATATTCTTTCACGGAAAGTATTTCATGTAATATGTAGACAGATATTTTCCACAGTAATCTGTTACTAACATTAGTTCCAACAAGAATGGTTAGAATGCCTACAATTTTATACCCTAAACTGTTTACAAGTAAGTCTATATCTATTGCCGGGGTAACAATCTGTCACTAACATTGGTTCCAATAAGAATGGCTAGAATGCCTATAATTTTATACCCTAAACTGTTTACAAGTAAGTCTATATCTATTGCCGGGGTACAAAGGAAAGTCAATTTCACTGAGATAGTCTACTGAGTTCAAAGGCAACAGAGTTTTTATATTTTCGTTGTGTAAGACCAAGCCCAGGTGCTGTGGTTTAAATGTGTCCCCCTCATAATTAACGTGTTAAGATTTGGTTGAATTGTGAAGGCATTACAATACAAGGAGAACTAATTCAGTTATAGTATTGAAAGGTGAGGACTTTGGGAAGTGATTAGGCCTCTAGTGAGGCCCTCGATATTGAATCTCAGTGGATTGATAAGGAAAGGAAATGAGACAGACAAAAACAGAGACATGTTCTTGCCTCTTGACATGTGAGATACCTCAGCCATGTTGTATACCAGCAAGAAGACCCTAAGTAGATGTGACTCCTTGACCTTGAACCTCCAAAACTGTGAGCCAAATAAATCTCTATTCTTTTTTTTAGAATTATTTTATTTAACTTAATTGATTATTATTTTCCAGTTTGATCAGAGAGACAGGGAAAGTGAGAAAGCAAGCCACCAGGTCTGGGACTCGAACCATGGTCAGTCATATGGGAGTCCAGCACCCTTAACCACTACACCATCTGTCAGGTCCTAAACCTCTATTCTTACAAATTACTCAGACTCAGGTATAATTCGTTATTAGCAACAGAAAGGACTAGAACACCAGGCAAATATGCGAAGAGAACAACCATTAATAAATTTATCAAATGAAACCATACCTATATGTTTCCTGTCTACTGTAATAATTTCTTAATTTTGGCTGAAATCTCTTACCTGTATTTCAAGTGCTGATGCTAATAAGAATGGAATCACTGGGACCAGCAGTTAGCATAATGGCTATGTTGCTAAACTCCCATGTAGTCGACTGCGGTTCGACTTCCAGACCTGGTGGCTTAAACTCATGCCGGGCCCGTGTGTGTGCGTGCCCAAGATCCTGAGGAAAATTGAGGAGAAGGGATTGCAGTGTGGCCATCCCCCCTGGGGGGGATGATTTCTCACTTTCTGTCTCTTTCTCTCTCTCTGGTGAGCACATGTGCCCTGTAGCAAAAAAAAAAAAAAAAAAGAATGGAATCATATATTCAAAATTCATATTTTTTGTCACTCATGAATCCTGCATTTCTTGTCAAGTTTAGCTTATGGGCATTCTATAAGAAATACCCATGGAAGGGACCAGCAGTTGGCGTAATGGCTATGTTGCTGGACTCCCATGTAGTTCGAGTCCAAGACAAGGTGGCTTAAATTCACATGGGGCATGTGTGCGTGCGTACCCAAGATCCTGGGAGAAGAATGGAGGAGAAGGGATTGTGGCATGGCCATCCCCCCAGGGGGGGTGATTTCTTCCTTTCTGTCTCTCTGTTTTTTCGTGAGAGTGCCCCACCCCTAAAAAAAAAACCCCCCCCAAAAAAAAAAAAAAAAAAAAAAAAAGAAATACCCATGGAAGGGCCAGCAGGTGGTGTAATGGCTAAGGTGCTAGACTAGACCATAGCCTCATGTGGTCTGAGTCCAAGATCTGGCAGTGTGAAAATCACACTAGATGCATGTGCTCTAGAAATAACACATTCTAAGAGGGTGATTAGCTTCTTGGCTTTTCTGTCTGAATGCCTTCCAGTGGACCCCTTTCATTCTCAGACATTATTTCTGTTCAATTAATTTTTTTTTCCATTTTATGATCATCTATTGAGTGTCTCTTCGATGGCAAGTTCTGTGTTAGATGCTGGTTAATAAGACCTAGGTAGTCCAATCTGGGTAGACATGTTTCCAAATTCAAGGAAAGTCGAATTTAAAAAATAATATATGAATCTGCTAATAGCAATCAATAAAATTAAAATATTGTTTTTATAATATAAAATAAGTTAAAACACTATACTAAGTAAAACCACATGTCTATAAGACCACTGTCCATTTTGCTTCATTGAACTGCACGTGCTGGTAATTTTCTGAATAACTGATCATTTCATTTTACCTGGCACTGACTGAAGAGATATGGGTGTTCCTTCCCAGAAGTTTGTTCAGGAGTGAGCCACTGAAGAGCAGAAGATTTTGGAGATGTCTCAAATGAAATTTCTATAACGACCTCTTGATTTCTGTAGGAAACGAACAAATATATCAGTAGAGTACAAACCCATCTACCTAAACTGAATTCATAATATATACTGTGAATAACATAATGGCATATGAGGTCTCGTTAGTGATTGAGAAGAAGCTCTAGAAATGTCACATCCTAAGAGGGTGATTAGCTTCTTGGCTTTCTACCTGAATCATGCTAACTGATAAGAAAGGTGTAAGAAGAATCAGTATTGGTTGAGTATCCCAGTGTATCACACACTTTGCCTGTGTGGTATAATTTTTTATGGCTATTTGAAATAGAAGTGATAATCTTGGCAAACTTCCACTCCTATAGTGCTGAGCACTAGCATGGGATACAAAGCCTTGCTGGTCTACAAACTGGTGCTGGTCCGTGACAAGATAAATCAAGGAATTACCTGGTGGCTTAAACTCATGCCGGGCCCGTGTGTGTGCGTGCCCAAGATCCTGAGGAAAATTGAGGAGAAGGGATTGCAGTGTGGCCATCCCCCCTGGGGGGGATGATTTCTCACTTTCTGTCTCTTTCTCTCTCTCTGGTGAGCACATGTGCCCTGTAGCAAAAAAAAAAAAAAAAAAAAAGAATGGAATCATATATTCAAAATTCATATTTTTTGTCACTCATGAATCCTGCATTTCTTGTCAAGTTTAGCTTATGGGCATTCTATAAGAAATACCCATGGAAGGGACCAGCAGTTGGCGTAATGGCTATGTTGCTGGACTCCCATGTAGTTCGAGTCCAAGACAAGGTGGCTTAAATTCACATGGGGCATGTGTGCGTGCGTACCCAAGATCCTGGGAGAAGAATGGAGGAGAAGGGATTGTGGCATGGCCATCCCCCCAGGGGGGGTGATTTCTTCCTTTCTGTCTCTCTGTCTCTCTCTGTCTTTCTGGCGAGTGCACGCACCCTATAGAAAAAAACCTCTCCAAAAAACACAAAAAAAAAAAAAAAAAAAAAAAAAGAAATACCCATGGAAGGGCCAGCAGGTGGTGTAATGGCTAAGGTGCTAGACACCCACATAGCCTCATGTGGTCTGAGTCCAAGATCTGGCAGTGTGAAAATCACACTAGATGCATGTGCTCTAGAAATAACACATTCTAAGAGGGTGATTAGCTTCTTGGCTTTTCTGTCTGAATGCCTTCCAGTGGACCCCTTTCATTCTCAGACATTATTTCTGTTCAATTAATTTTTTTTTCCATTTTATGATCATCTATTGAGTGTCTCTTCGATGGCAAGTTCTGTGTTAGATGCTGGTTAATAAGACCTAGGTAGTCCAATCTGGGTAGACATGTTTCCAAATTCAAGGAAAGTCGAATTTAAAAAATAATATATGAATCTGCTAATAGCAATCAATAAAATTAAAATATTGTTTTTATAATATAAAATAAGTTAAAACACTATACTAAGTAAAACCACATGTCTATAAGACCACTGTCCATTTTGCTTCATTGAACTGCACGTGCTGGTAATTTTCTGAATAACTGATCATTTCATTTTACCTGGCACTGACTGAAGAGATATGGGTGTTCCTTCCCAGAAGTTTGTTCAGGAGTGAGCCACTGAAGAGCAGAAGATTTTGGAGATGTCTCAAATGAAATTTCTATAACGACCTCTTGATTTCTGTAGGAAACGAACAAATATATCAGTAGAGTACAAACCCATCTACCTAAACTGAATTCATAATATATACTGTGAATAACATAATGGCATATGAGGTCTCGTTAGTGATTGAGAAGAAGCTCTAGAAATGTCACATCCTAAGAGGGTGATTAGCTTCTTGGCTTTCTACCTGAATCATGCTAACTGATAAGAAAGGTGTAAGAAGAATCAGTATTGGTTGAGTATCCCAGTGTATCACACACTTTGCCTGTGTGGTATAATTTTTTATGGCTATTTGAAATAGAAGTGATAATCTTGGCAAACTTCCACTCCTATAGTGCTGAGCACTAGCATGGGATACAAAGCCTTGCTGGTCTACAAACTGGTGCTGGTCCGTGACAAGATAAATCAAGGAATTTGAGAGTAAGCATAGAAACTTTAAGAGCTATTTTTGTATCAGCCGAATCTAATAACAAAATGTGTACTTCTATTTAATCTCTTCTTTCTAGTAATTCATTTTGTTGGACTTTATAAAACCATCAGTATATATCAGCTTAGAGATAATAAAAATTGGTCCTTCACCCTAGACAGTTTCAAAAGAGGAAATACCAAGAGCTTTAGAGACCAGGAGCCTTGCCTGTGTTTGAATCTTGACTCTAACAGGAACGGGAAGGCCCAGAACACTGACCACTGAAAGGTGGGAATAGATCACCCTTGTATCTTCTAGGTCAATAGTTTTTACCCATTTTCCCTTCCCCGTTACATCAAAGGATGGGAAACATTTCCAATATGATCATTATGGCTGCCACTTTCTTGAACAAATTACTTAATTTCTCTGAGATCCCTTTCCTCCTCTGTAAAATACAGCTCATACTACACATGGCTGCTATAAAAATGAGATAAAAGAATGTATCTAAAGTGTTCATCCTGCCAGCTTTGCGCAGTGGCAGTATCGTAGCCAATGAGGTTTATCCGAGGCGCGATTATTGCTAATTGAAAACTTTTCCTAAAGTGTTCATCCTGATTGCTACTCGGTGACAGTTCTATGTATGGCATTATTGTCACCCCACTAATAAAAAGGGCTGGCCTTTGGAGCAAGGGCAAAGAATGTGCAGCTTGTAAAAGCTTCCCAGGTTGTCTTCAAATGCCTCCCTATGATGGCATTCCTCCTCATCACTCTAGACCAGGCGTCCAAAGCCCTGGCTGCAGACCAGTATGGTCTACGGCCTGTTTCCCCAATTCTCACTGCTGACCATGCAGCAGGGGGTGGGCAGCGGAAGAGCAAGGCTTCCTGTGTTTGCACCGCTCACAGTGCTGTCTGGACTTCGCTTCCTGACAGATCAGCACTGGTCCTGGATTCTCACGGGTGCATGAACCCTATTCCATGTGATTGTTTCAGTGTATACTGTAATGTGGCAGTGGTGGAAATGGGGTGTGCGGTGAATGTGGTGCACTTAGGTCATCCCAGGACCAACTTCCCTCCCTCATCTTCCCCGTACATGGAGGGATTATCTCCTGGTCCCTGGTGCCTGGAAAGTTGGTGACTACCTCTCTAGACAGTAGTAAAATCATGATTACTTAAATTACCTGAAGTCCTATTCTTGAGTGTTTTGCACAATAAATTTCCTTAGTATCTTACGAACAAATTCTGTTCACTATAAATGTCTTTCTGAACAGATCAGTAAAAATAGAATGTCGGTTACGACATCTACAGAAACTGAAAAAAAGAGAAAATGTCTAAATTGTTTTAGAATATATTTCCTCCATTATTCAGTGTAAAAGAGAAAAGGGATTCATACTTGCTCAGAGCAATAGGAAGAGAGATTTCCA